CCAGAGAATTCATGGCCTCGATCAGAGTGGATTTTGGCTACAGTGAAGCCATCAACTTTCAGCTTGATCAGCATCTCCATCGCAGTTGCTGATACCTCTCGAGCAGTCTTGGTGATCATAGGAAGGGCAAGTCGAAAGATTCTCACCTCTGTCTTCTCCTCCAAATCACCTTGTGCCTCCTCCTGTGCTTCCTCACATTGATCTTCCACCTCCAAATCTTCACCTTCTTTTTCTACCTCCTCTTGAACCTCAAGCTCCTCATCTTCGATCAATGGCTCTTCACCTTCCAACTCCTCCTCTGGGGGCTGGCACATCTTTTCTGTCCCTTTCGGAACGCGCCACACCAGAGCTCCAGCTAGAAACCATCTAGCTTGCCCACCACCCATGTCATACGCTGGCTTGAATGGACCAGCGACATCCAAAGAGAGAGTGCCAGTTTGAAGATGCTTCGCACGCCGATGAGGCTCTTGTTGTTGCAATGTCTCTTGACATACTTTGCAATCTTTTCGATAAGGCACATGACCGAAAAGGATGTGATCATCCCATGACATCGGGGCCAACCTGGCCTTGGACTTCAAGGTTTGCTCCTTGATCGCTGATGCTAGCATTCTCATCAACCCAGGTGGCCAACGAGCAAGATCTTTTGATGACCGTACTCCCCCACTTTGTGATTTGCCTTTGATTTGGAAATCTTCAGGGGCCAAGTCCAAAGAGGTTCCCAGAGTTGTAGGCTTTGTTTCTTCGCCTCCTAGGCTCTTCTGAGTGACATGTGTTTCCTTCAGAGAAAACTCCTTCTTGATCTCCTGCCATTCCCACTGATCCCAAAACGATACGACCTCAGGCATGTAGTGCTTTGGAGAGGAAGGTTGTTCCAACACAAAGGCCAAAGGGTGATCATGCCCTCGTGCTCGCCGGGAGTAAGAGGCAATCATAAACAAAAATATTTGACGCCAAAGGAGAATGTCATCCTCTTTGACCATCTCTTCCTCCTCCAAAGACATGCTTTCTTTTCCATATTCTTCACCTCCCCAAGCACGAACAGGCCGAGGAGCTGTGTCACAACCAGGAATGTCATAGTGCCGGAGAACACTCCTGGAGCGGCAATTTGGACCGCCCAAAACACCCAGCAGCTTCCCTTGTAGTGCAGCGAGGACCAAAGCAGCATAGAGGCCATCATCCGGCAACATATCATGTTGCGGGCCTCTCTTCAGATCAACTTCCAGCAGGAACTTCTCTTCTCCTCCACATTGACGCCAGGCCTTCTCAAAAGTGAATCCAGAATTTTCCCCAGCATAAAGGTGGAGAAGAAATCCATCACGCTGCATGACCTTTCTCCATCTTCGATTGCATGGGATATCACCCCACTGCCCAGGTCGAACAGGCAATCGACTTTTGATGTGGTGTGGAAGCTTTGAGAGCACAGGGTGAGCTTCCACCACAGCTTGCATCCATGCATGTTCATCGTTCATCTCGTGACCTCTCTGCAAACCTTGATTGGCATCCTCTATCTCAGAAATGAGGTCCAATGCCAGTTGATGACTCACCTGGGGACATCCACTTTGTTGAGTTACTTTCAAATCCCCTCTGCAAGGGTGATTCACCACCAGCTGACCTTCATTCCATGTGATCGTGCATCCCAGCTTCTCTGTGAGCTGGCCCATGGGGACAATCGGCTCCTTGGACGCATCAGGCGAAATCATCGCCTTTCCAGGAGACATCCTCAATTGAGTTCGCCGTCCATCAGCTAGAGCTACCCCAACCACTGGGTAACTTTCCACATGCTCCCCAACTTTCATAGGTCGTAGAGGATGAGTGGCACCTGAGTCAATCAGTCCTCCTTGATCTCCAGTCACCATACGCTGCAGCTTGAAGACCTTCTGCTTGTGACGGAGGGAATTCAGCTGCTGCTGAAGTCTATCCATCAATTCATCTTTCCTTCAACTTCTCTTGTCGTGCCTGAGCTTGCTGACGCTGCAGATGACGGTGCTGAAGTTGATATGCTCTTCAAGACCTTGCTGGCTTCTTCTATCAGATCTTTCATCGCATCAGGTGACGATGCGACACTTTCTTGTGCCTCTTTCTTGTTGTTGCCCTTGTCCTCACCCTCTGACTTCGCCTGCTTGGCCTTTGGAGTGAACTTCTCTGGAGATGACGGAGACGACTTCGGTCGATTACAGCTCGGCGCCAAATGCTGTGAGCTGCCGCAGACATAGCATCTCCTCACTTCATCCCTTTGCTCGTGTGACCACGTGCATTCACGACCTTTTCTACATCCACCTTCAGTGAGATAGTATTTGCATTTCTGCCTTGGCCTCTCTTCTTCACTCCTCTCTTTGTCTTTTCCTTTTCCCTTACCCTTTTCAGCTGAGTCCACCTCAACGGCCTTGATCTTCGGAGCTTCTGTGTCTTTCTTTGTGGGTATTGGCATGACCTTCTTTTCAGTGATCGCCAACTGCTCAAACTCTGCCAGAAGGTGGGCTGCGAGTTGATCCACTGATGCCGACTTTGGTGTAGCGTCCACTGCCAGGTTGTTACGGACAAGAGAGACTCGAAATTGCAAGTCTCGATGACTCTCCAACACCTTCTTGGTCATTCGATTCAGCCCTTTCAGTAGTATGGCCGGATCTGGTTCAACTGCTCCGACCTCAGCTGCTCTCCGTCTCCGACGCAACCAACGGCGAATGGCACCAGGGGCATCATGTATGTTGGTGATCTCTGAGGGGTCCTCCAGGCTTTTGAGTAGGTGTTGTTTTTCTGCAACTCCACTAGGACAGTATGTTGTGTACAGGTATGTGAGCACCCCGTACACATTCAGCCTTCTTGCCGCCACCAGCTCTTCTTTGCATCCTTCCGGAATTGCCTTCATGACCATGGTGAAGACACGCCGTTCCAGTCTTTGCCACCGCGCTTGCTGAAGACTATCAGGCACTGCAAAACCATGATTGAGCCTGTCCAGAGGTGACATGGAAACGTGTTTGCGATACCAGGCTTCCACTTCTTCAGTCATCAGAGTCCACCAATCGTGGGAGGTTGTGGACAAGTCTGAGATTATGGGATTGAGCAGCAACATCCAGTCTCCAAGTTGCAAAGGCCCAGTCCCAGACGTCCACGGCATCAGATCAGGTAGATCCGGGGAGCCTGAGCGCACCACTTCCACGCCCATTACACTTCCTTCTTCTCCTCGTCCATCTTGAATCTTCTTCTGCAAATCTCGCATCGATTGAACCATCAAGCACATCAGCTCCATGGATTGAGTGTTGAAGTCAGCGCTGTTCTTTTGACTTCCTTCTGGGGGTCTCTCGGCCTCCTTTTCTTGTCGGTCGGCTGACCCTTCCTCCTGTGGGGGTCTGCCAGCCTGCTTCGCTTGTCGGTCTGCTGACCCTTCCTCCTGTGGGGGTCTGCCAGCCTCCTTAGCTTGTCGGTCTGCTGACCCTTCCTCCTGCGGGGGTCTGCCAGCCTCCTTTGCTTGTCGGTCTGCTGACCCTTCCTCATGTGGGGGTCTGCCAGCCTCCTTGTCAAAAGTCTTTTCAAGATTCTTTACACCCGCGCTGCTTTCTTTCGACAGGCTATCAGGTGTGGCAAAACGAACTTCAGAGTCACATGGTTGAACCTCCGTGGCATGAATCCTAGACCTAAGCCTCTGATTCTCTTCCAGAATTGATCTCATCAATTGTTTCATCTCTTCTCGTTCTTTCTGGTCTTGCATCATCCTATGGTGCAACATGGAAAGCTGGTGGTCTCTGTCCCTCAGCTCTTCGCTAAATCTCTTCTCTTCTGACTCCAAAAAACCAGGTCGCGGCACCACTGTCGAAAAACTGGGTCCCACTGGTCCATAGAGCCAAGGAGCTTGCTGCTGAAGCAGGTTGAACTGATGGATCTGCTCTGGTGTGAAAAGCGGGGTCTGTCCCATTCCGAATTCACTGGACTTCACATCTTGAGGGGTGACAGCAAGTTCTTTTGGAGAGGTGCCCAAATGTCCAACCTTTTGAATTTCTTCAATATTCTTTTCCATACTACCTATCCCTTCTTCCCCTCTTTTCCCATCTCCTCCATTTGAGATCGCTGGTGTGGATCCCTCAGATGCCGAAGAGCTCTTCAAGAAACTCCCAGGTGGCTGCTCTGGAGGTGGAGTCGACGGCAACGCAGGGCGGTGAGAGACAGGGAGGCTCGGAGATGGACTTTGGGAAACACTTTTCAAAACTTCAACCTCTTGTTCACCTTTCTGCCTCAAAGCTACTTGCTGTTCATCCCTTTCATCTATTCGTTTGTCTTCTATGGGCAATTCCCCAGCTTCTCTTGTTTCAGATTCCATTCTAATCTGCGCATCTTTCATTTCCTTCATCCCTTGATCCAACTCTTGCTGAGTGGCTCTTCTTCGTTGCATCATTGCTTGGAGCCTAGTCTTGGGCTCATAACCTGGTAAGCCAGAGCTCACCAGGTCAACCCAACAGCAACGAAACTCCTTCCTTTTTCTACCTTTCGCTTTGATCTGGGGTCTCGACCAGAAAAGGCAGCTGACAGTCGCAGCCAATGCAATATGGAAAATTCAAATGCAAAATCAAAATGTTGAATGTGGATTCCAAAATGTGCACTTCTCGATTTGTGCGTGAACTCTCTTGCATGCAGGCAGTGCAGGGTCTGTCTCTCTTGCAGATACCGAGGACCAGTTTTAGGGCCCGGTGTCCCATATTTTGCCCAGAGGTGATGCCGCCTAGAAATCACTGAACTGACTGGGAACTTCACCTGGCAATGCAGCATGCCCATTGAGAAACAAAAACATGTATAGATGATAGTGATTTTGCCTCAACCATATGGGATGGTTCCAGCCAGCCATGTGATTGTCAGAGAATAGTACATCATGGGACTGTTTGCATTTAGATCTACACTGGCTGGATGTTTAATTCCAGGTTTCCGAGCCTTTGGATGATTTTTTTCGGTAATCAACATGTTAATGGCTGGATTGACTCGAGACCTGTGGGAGATTGTGGGAATGTTGTCAGGTTCTATGCTGTCACCCTGCGATGCTGGATGCAATTGGCCATCAGTGGATGAAGTGCTGAGGAGAGAAGAACTTCTGGTGCTGCTGTGCAGGTCCGCTCACAGTATTTCATGGCCATGATATTCCAACTTAAACATGTTCAACATGGGTTTTGAATCGGCTTATGGTTTCATCATGACCGGGAAGTTGCCAGTTTTTCCATGGGAAAATGATTCAACTCTACTGATGTGATGCTTTGATGAGGGGATTTTCCATGTCATGTCGAATTACCGGAGGGCATTTGTCCAGTACATGAAGTACATCCTGAAAGAGGAGGGAATGCCTTTTTCGGCAGCAAACCATACCCATGGGGCCCATGGACAGAGACGCTTGATGATGCCGGTTCCCACAGGCAGCAAGCAGACGCGGACCGCGCAACGCGCCTGGCGAGCGCTCAAACTTTTGCTGCGGCAGCAGAACAGCTGCTGCCAAGGCCCCTGTGATCCCTGCATGGAAGACTGCAACAATGTAACAGAACATAACGGAACAAGATATCACTGGGAGTATATATATATGTGTATATATACATAAATGCTTTGTCCGATTCCTTTTCATTTCTTTGCCTTTGCAATTTCACATTTGCGACGTATTTTTTTCACAGTACGCTGCATGGTTCAGTTGCTTGCCTTGGCCCGCTTTTTTGGCAGGAAATAATATGTCGCGCCATGTAAGGAAGCCTGTAGCCACTCAGCATTAGCCAAATCCCTGGTGCTCCTGTCAGAGGCATTGGGCCACAGAATGTTTGTGGAAATGGCTTGCTGAAGGTCTGGCTTTGCACAGTGAGTCATTCAACTTGTATCTTTTTTGGTTGATGCAGGAAGATGGCCCCTTGTATTGGTAGATGTTTGCAAGTGTTTTTTTTAAATTGCGAGATGATGGAAGATGTTTCGTTGCGGCATGTTAAACCATCCTGCATGTTGTTAAAAACAAAACATCAGTTTGTCTCAAAGCAGGGTGCATAAGCATATACCCATGTATATACACGTAAAATATCATATAATTATATATATATGCGCATATATAACTATTTATCTTTGATGGCCATACATACATACACACGACATACACACATACACACATACACACATACATGCATACATGCATACATGCATACATGCATACATGCATACATACATGCATACATACATACATACATACACACATATACATACATACATATACATACATACATACACATACATACATACTTACATACATACATACACATACATACATACATACATACATTCATTTACATACATACATGCATACATACATGCATTTACATACATACATACACTTACATACATACATACATACACTTACATACATACATACATACATACACATACACATACACATACACATATACATACATACACATACACATATACATATACATATACATATACATATACATACATACATTTACATACATACATACATTTACATACATACATACATACATTTACATACATACATACACTTACATACATACATACACTTACATACATTTACATACATTTACATACATTTACATACATTTACATACATTTACATTTACATACATTTACATACATTTACATACATTTACATACATTTACATACATTTACATACATTTACATACATTTACATACATTTACATACATTTACATACATTTACATACATTTACATACATTTACATACATTCACATGCATTCACATACATTCACATACATTTACATACATTCACATACATTTACATACATTTACATACATTCACATACATTCACATACATTCACATACATTCACATACATTCACATACATTCACATACATTCACATACATTCACATACATTCACATACATTCACATACATTTACATACATTTACATACATTTACATACATTTACATACATTTACATACATTTACATACATTTACATACATTTACATACACTTACATACACTTACATACATTCCGTACATGTACATACATTTACATACATTTGCATACAGTACATACATTTACATACATTTACATACATTTACATACATTTACATACATTTCATGATCATTTACATACATTTACATCATTTACATACATTTAACATACATTTACATACATTACATACATTTACGCCATACATTTTACCAGCTATACATGTGTGTGACATTTACATACATTTAACATACATTTACAGTGATACATTTACATACATTTACATACATTTACATACATTTACATACATTTACATACATTTACATACATTTACATACATTTACATACATTTACATACATTTACATACATTTACATACATTTACATACATTTGCATACATTTGCATACATTTGCATACATTTACATACATTTACATACATTTACATACATTTACATACATTTACATACATTTACATACATTTACATACATTTACATACATTTACATACATTTACATACATTTACATACATTTACATACATTTACATACATTTACATACATTTACATTTACATACACACATACACAGAGACACAGAGACACACAGACACACAGAGAAACACAGAGAGAGAGAGAGAGACAGAGAGAGACAGAGAGAGAGAGAGAGAGACAAAGAGAGGAGAGAGAGAGAGAGAGAGAGTCAGAAAGAGAGAGAGAGAGAGTCAGAAAGCGAGAGACAGAGAGACAGACAGACAGACAGACAGACAGACAGACAGACAGACAGACAGACAGACAGACAGACAGACAGAGACACACAGAGACACACAGAGACACACAGAGACACACAGAGACACACAGAGACACACAGAGACACACAAAGACACACAGAGACACACAGAGACACACACAGAGACACACAGAGACACACAGAGACACACAGAGACACACAGAGACCCACAGAGACACACACAGAGACCCACAGCAGACACACACAGGACACACACAGACACACACACAGAGACACACACAGACACACACACAGACACACACACAGACACATACACAGACACACACACACACAGACACACACACACAGACACACACACACAGAACACACACACAGACACACACAGACACACACAGACACACACAGACAGAGACAGACAGAGAGACAGACAGAGAGACAGACAGAGAGAGAGACAGAGAGACAGACAGAGAGACAGACAGAGAGACAGACAGAGACAGACAGAGACAGGCAGGCAGGCAGGCAAACATGCATGCATGCATGCATACATACATACATATACACACACACATACACGCGTACACGCATACACACACACACATACATACCCCTGCACACACACACACACACGCACGCGCATAGACGCATACACACATACACATTCACATTGACATATATATATATATACACACACACATATATATATATTATTGTATGCATGCCATGATATACCCGAACAGTTGGTAAATATTCATCATTTTCTCTCTGACAATGTCCATTTTGGTAGGTTTCTCCCATCCTGGAGCCGGCATCGCGCCAGGTTGCGCCACCAAGTTGGAAGCCAAAGACTGCGAGGCGAAGCGGCTTCGCTTCCTGCAGGACCTGACGAGAGCATACACACGAATATATTGATAATATTTATAATATGTATACATATGCAAACATATCTATATATCTATATACCATATATTACACATATATATATATTATCGAGTTTGAAGAGCAATATTTTGAATACATTCAAACATGCCATTTAGTTCTGCTGGACTCCTTGAGATGGTCAAGGAGAGAGAGTAATGATTGCAGATATTCAGTTCAATGAATCTGTGTTTGCAAGTGAGAAGTTTATCTAATCTTATGATATTTTATGTATAGTACACATATTGTATTGTATTGTCTTGTATTGTATCGTATCGTATTGTATTGTATTGTATTGTATAGGGTTGTGATGTAACATACTGTAACTTAATGTAGCATGACTCAACGTATGTCATGTCATGTTGTGTCATGTCCAGTCGTGTTGTGTCATGTCATGTCAGTATGTATTTGTTTGTTTGTGTGGGTTGGTAAGAGTCGCTTTGGAAAATGAGGGAGGTTTCGCAGATGATTGGAACACTACAATTTGAACAGCTAACTTAGACAGTTGTTTTGTTTGCAGCGCTCATAGATTAATTGATCAGTGATTCTCAGTGTATGGGACATATGTTTTCGAATAATGATGGTGACAGTGGACAAGTCAATTAGAAACATGTTGAGTGTTGATTAGAACGAAGAAATTGTCTCTTCGTTTGCTTGCCTTTGCCACAGTTCCTCTGTTTGTACACCATTTTGAGCTTCGTTTTTTGACCCGTGATTCTTGCACAACATGTTCTCCCAGCATCAGTTACCATATTATCATTGAGCCTCTCCTTTGTTGTGTGCACGGCGCGGCCCTGTGCCATTCCAGTTTCTTGTCAAAGGATGCATACGAGGGAGCTAAGCGAAACACCCACACAGCTTGGGTGATGTCGAACCTTGGTCGGGATCAAGCTGCCATTCGTATCCATTCGTATACCATGGGAATCCATGGGATTTGTTTTATGACTAATTGCAAGCTTCGGATCATGTATTTCTTCCGGGAATTACAGCTGCACCCAATTTTTACTACCTGGTTACTTGGTTTTGATGTTGGTTCGAATTGCATGTTTAATCTCGTTCCACGGGCAGAATCCATCAACATCCCAAGCTCACTGGCCTGATCGAAGGCAAACGCTATCAGAGTATCACTATCATTTCAATGTGATTATATGTGATTATATGTGATTATATAATTCTCGGTTCTCCATAAATTTTGTAAAGCTATGGTGTATCCATATAGCTTTTCAGTTAAATCAAAGCGCATTTTTCAGAGCTCAGGAGTCTGGCCATGTGGACGCTAAGTTCCTGCGGTGCCCTGCAGCACGCAACGCCTCCAGTCACTTGGAGCTGGTGGAGACCATCATTTTCCGCATCGGAAAATAAGTTATCTCTCCCTTCAAAGATATTGTATGCAATTATATATAATATTTGTATGTACCTAATATCTATATCCATATCTATATCCATATCTATATCTATATCTATCTATCTGTATACCATATACATACATACGTGCATAAAGGATGTGCACAGCTGGTTTGGTGTGGACGGGAGCAGCGCTTGGGTTTTCTAACACGTGTTTATTATGTAGGAAGGAATAGCCCCTGCCCTAATCCAGATTGCCGACTATTGCTAAGTGATTGATCCGTGTTGAACCCCAACATGGCAGGACTGTGCAAGACAGTGACCGAAACACCCGATGGCACTGGGCATTCAAAACTTTGTTCCCAACCATCTGCGTTTCGTCATTTCTCCCATGTAAGCTGGTAACCCTCCGATTTTCTGGAGCAATTGGTTGGCTCACAGCATGCCATAAGGATTGCAGTGCGCGGGTGCGCGACAGCGGAGCGCTGGAGCTTTTGAAGGAGGCAGCTGGGCTGCTGAAGGATTTGAATGGAGAAGATGACAAGAGCCTCGGTTTGGATCAGTACTGCTATGGCTGCTATGGTGATTGTGGCTGTGTCTAGTGCGTGTCCATATTATTGGTGTTGGGTTTTGCGATTTTTGCGGGGAGGGTGATAGTATTTGGTCAAGTTTGGGAAACACCTGTGTAGACAGTTGGGCCAGAAGAGATACTTGTGGTTCACCAGCCGGAGGGATCCCCAAATGCTTCAGCCAACTGGAATTCCCAGGTATTTTCGCCACGTGCAAAGGAACCTGGAGCGAGTATCTCACCTAGACACCGCGTAGTCTTTGCCGAAAAGATACGATCTGCTGCGCTGCCCAGTGGGAATTCAAAGTGCATGATGATGCAGAGAGACTTTCCTTGCATCCATTCATTTTTTCTAGCGACCTGAACTGTTTTGGAATGGTGGTTTGACCAACCGCTGATTGAACAGATGCGGGTTGTTCCGGTTGTATTGTTGATGAATTCGGCAGCAGAAGATTGAATCAGACGAGGACATGAACCAAGACATGTGCGGGGGCATACCGCCGTGAAACCAACATAGGAAACCTATAATCAAATGTGGTTTCGAAGATGATTATGAACAGAGTAGAACTCGTAAGTTTGGGGGTTCCAATGGGATTCCATGCTGCTTTCATCAACCAAGCTTTGCAGGTTTTTTCAGCCGAGATGCGTGGGAACTTCCGCCTCCAGAGGCCGTGGAAGTTTCGACCAACCGCGGGGATGCAACCAACATGTGGAGAATTGGAGGTTCCCTCCTTGCTGTGGGCCTTTCTTAGTGAATTTAGTGACCTTAGTGGTTAGATGATGTTAGATGGTGCATAGTCCCACTATGTCCCACCACTTGATGTGTATTAATTATTGGATTGCAGAAAAGGTACTTTCTGAGAACACTCTTAACAGAACGGGAGTTGATCATTGGAGCTCAAGCTGGTATACCCCCAGAGTTGGTCAGGCTGCCCCAGATGACTGGTGGGAGAAGCGAAGTGGGGATGAGAGGCTGAGATGCTCTGTGCCCCTTCTCAGATGTGATGCACGTTTCCAAGTGATTCAGGCTACCACAGGGGCTACCATTCATATCCATTCATCCTGTTTTCAACTTTAATTAGATTTGATTACAAGTTAGATGAGCACAAGTTTTTTCTTGTGTGTCATGTAGAACTTGTGGACAAAAATCCGGGTGCAGGCTTAATGTGCGCACCATCCCTCCAGAGCAGTGGCCTTGGTGGCGGCCGTTTGCAATGCTAAACAGCGCACAACTGTCGCAGTCCTCACGCTGAATATATGCCACTTGTCTTGGATGATATAATATGCCCGTGAAGAGTTCTCCGCTTTTGTTCCTGTGAACCAGCTGACCTAGGTGGATTCAATCAAGTGTGATACGCTCAGAGTTCTGTTCGGGAGTGCTTTCATATCTCGAAGACTGAAGGCTGATCCTGCGATTTTGAGGCATGTCACAAGAGGCATGTCACACTTCCAATGGAATGCCAGTATGCCTGGCTTGTTTGTAAAGTGATTGTGCTTGATTGTCTCAGTCGACTCTCCTGAATTGCACTGATGTGCACACATACTTACAAACGTAACGTTACATTACATTATATAATGATGTATATAATATATATATATATGTATATATATATATACACATCGTGTATACATCACATCACATGACAACTTGCATTACATTTGTATGATTATTACATTCAATTTACATTACATCCCATTGCACAACATAAATACATACTACATACACACAAACATACATATACATAATGCATAGGGACATGCAGACATTGACATACAAACATACACATTTATACATACCTATACATACCTACAAACATGAATACACCCATAAAAATGCAAACAATGAGTATATCTATATTGCCAACATAATATACACATATATTATCATATATTTCATTGTATTTCCAAAATGATTACCATTACAGTCGCACAGTGCCAGACACAGAGGTGGTGTCCATGTGCCTTTGTTGATCGTTCCACTGAGACGCCGCCATGGACTGCACGAGCTGGACATGTGGCGCTGGTGCCGCGGGTGGAGGGATGGCTGTTTCTATAGAGTTTTTGGGTTCACCACGACATTATTGGCCCTGGGATTCAAAATTGGTGGGAAGAGTGGGATTTGATAGGGCTTCACTCTTTGTTTGTGTCTTGCTGAGGGTGAAACCCTTTCTTCATACAAGTTACGCATCGGTCATGATCACGCTTTGCACAGCACGAGACTCGGACTTTGCCTCAGGTGGATCCAGAAAGTGACGTAGCAGCCCCAGGGCAGGTCCAGTGCAGAGCAGGTCTGCCTGCTGATTTTGAAGGGCAGAACCTGGGGCTCCACATCGACTTGTTATGACTTGTTGTTTTTGGAAACTTAGGCTGTCTTCATCCTCGGTGGAGAGGTGGCTTGCTGGAAACTGCCACACCCTCGAGGGTGTCTTTCAACTCATTGTTGTTAGAGCACTGCGCGCCAATCTGTTTCGTGTAACAATGGGAACAATCCTTGAGCCTGCCCGGGCTGTAATGGCAAATCTGACTGAATGGCAGACTCCGCCCGAGGTTTGATTTTCAGCCCGAGGGTCTAAAAGGATCCCTTTAAGAAAGTGCTTTATTTTCAGCCCGAAAGGTGGTGCTAGGTATGAATGATGTGCGGACCAACCGGGCAACTTCCTCATCCATCTCCAAAAGAAGCAACCCACCCAGGTTTGGGACATTTGGGACCTCAAAATGAAGAGATCCACCACCCCAAAACGGTAAAACGGGTATACCGGGGGGGCTGTTCATCGGTTGCCGCTGTTGCTTGCAGGGACCTTCAGGCTTCATGGCAGACATGTGGAAGGAGACTTAGAGCCGTGGCAGGGAGTGGGCTCTAAGCCAGTCAAGGGTGGAGAAGGTGGGGTGGTCATGGATACATGATATGGGTATGATGGGTATGGATCAATACCTATTAATACCATTTTTATCCATTTTTAGAGGGATGAACATCCATTTACCAGCTATTTTGATGTTCACCAGGGGTACAAGGTTTTGACACACTGCCATATGTGTAAGCTGAAATTCCTGATCTGAAAGATCTGAAAGCCTGGACCTGGGACGATTCCCTTGTTGATTCTATGGGTTGTCTATGAAAAATTACTCGGATTTCTATAGAATTCGTTCCTTTACAAATATCAATTGGCTGCCACTTGCTCGCACAAACCTAACGATATCTAGCGATCCATCCACAGGCCGGGCAGTTTGAGACTTTAACGATAGGGCGCGCCACAACTACCACAGGCCTTCAGCATTAACCTGGTCAATCTGTACAACATGCTGGAGCCTCAAGGAGGTTATTTGCTGAGAACAGCTTCCCGTGCCATTAGAAAATTGGTGTGTCACTGTAGTGTTTCTAGATGTCACCCACGCCACACAAATGGAATCTCCAAGTGGCCAACCTGATTAGATACTGTACTTGGTTAGGCTTCCCACGGCTCATGAGATCACTGCGATTGAGGTTGGAGCTGACTTTCTGAACCAGGCAGGGTGGTGCCACTGCACATCACTGCACCTGAAAAGTCAGTGAGCCTTCGACACATGTAAGGTCTCTTAGATCCCCAAAAGATACGCTTCAGAAAATAGACTCCAATAGTCCAAGATTTGGCCCAAGATGCCAAAAGTATCCAAAAGTCACAGCCATACCTATGTGGAAGATACCATAATCCGCAAAAATCGATACCAGAAAATCCGTATATTTGGACAAGAATGATCTTGGGAGCCTGCGACGGTGCTGCGACTCAGCTTCCATAGGTCAGCAGTGTCTTTCGATGTGCCGGGATGCCTAGGCCTGGACTTGAGACTGTGGCATTTGAGGTGCCATCCACAGAGACCCTGACATTGGTAAGGAGTGCTAAGACGAGGAGTCCCTCAACGCCCAAAGAATCTCCGCTCACCAATGATACCAATGTTATCCAATGTTCATTTGCTTCTTTCCGCAAAAAAAACATGGCATCAGCACAATGATGACTCACCAGCTATGTGAAGCTTGGGGTGATGGGGTGGAAAATTTGCTTAGCGATGGATGTAGAATGTCTCTTCATGTCTGTTCTAAGGAGGGCTGGTCATGCGAGGATGCACAGAGCCTTGCCCCTCCCTACTTTGTAGCTCCAGGACTGTGTTTGGTGGTATCCAATGATGTCCATCATCCAGGAACGTCCCTGACCGCGGGTTAAACAAACAAACGAACAAACGAACTACCGACCTACCTGCCTGCCTACCTACCTACCTAACTAGCTAACTAACTAACTAACTAACTAACTAACACACACACACACACACGCACACGTATACGTATTCTGGTGTATAAAAAAATGTTCTTACATGCATGCACACTTCAAAAACTATACGTGATTGTGGATATGTTTTGCAATGTCATCAAGTTCTCTGAGACATCACCAGCCCAAAGATCAAAAGAACATGAACGGGCCTCTTGCATGGCTGCATATGTATTCCGAAAGCATTTGTAAGTGGTGAGGTTATGTGAGGTTAATGTGGTCTTGCCGCGAGGATGGTAGATCGCTGATGTGCTGCCTGCCAAGCAGTCGGCACCTGAGAAGAGCCAGATGGTGTCCATACTTCAGATCTTTCAGCTCAGGATGGTGCCAGTTGCGGCAGTGCTGAGGGCAAGCCTGGCAATTGGCAAAAGGTTGGCTGGGGATGGTTGGTTGAGTTGGGACGATTTTGTTGATCGTATCCACCTTTTTCATCCTTTTTCATTCTTTTTCATCTTTTTTCCACGATCAAATCGAAAAGAAATCATTCGGAAGAACAATGGAGCGCGTATGCCGTCGAAGACACAACGAGATTGTGCTGCAGATGACTTTGAATGATCTTGAATGACAGATGATTGATTGTGCATCGCTGGATTTTGTTGCAGCAAAATAATGATGTGGGTTTTTACTTCGGCCAAAGAATGCTGGTTGATCTCACCTTTTGAGGGCATATGAGCCTCATGTGAGCAACGATAAGATATCGAATGGTTGAAGCGACATTATGGCACAAGAGCATCCCGCTACACTGGCATAAAAATGTTGCAAGACTAAATGCTGATCAACCTAGTCCATTTAGTCCATCAAGTGGAATTTTACTCATGCATGCACGCCATTTATTACTTTCCAGTCAAACCGTGAATCATATTGAGTTGGATGGGTGACGCAAGCTCTTTATGTGTGTGTGTGTAGAAATTGTGAATGTGCTGTAAGGAGCAACTTATCTATATCGACATATGTATATATAATTATATGTATACATATATATACATATATACATGTAAGAACATGTAAGAACATGTAAGAACATGTAAGAACATGTAAGAACTATAAGGTCCGGCGGATATATATATATAATTAGATATCCATAGAAGATCATAGACGCATTAAACATGACGACGCAGATTTGAAAAGATTAGTTTCGATTAGAATTAGGGCAAATGATGTAATACATAGATTAAGTGAAATTAGATTGCATTTAAATTAGATCAGATCAGTAGATAGATTAGATAGATGATTAGATTAGATGAGTATGGCCAGCTCAGCATTTACGTCACCTCTCCGCCTCAAAGATGTAGATGCGACTGATGCGACGATGTCAGACTCCTCTGCCGATGCCAAACTTGTGAATGCCTTGATCCGGGAAGTGGCGCTGAATGGCGGCTCCGTTGTAGCAGGTCGGATGCTCCAACTGCGTCAAGGAGTCAAGGGATGTCAAGGGGCTGCGAGTCAAGTCAGCAGTTTTGATCCATCTATTTCTATCATTTTCTGTCTATTTCTAGAATTTCAGCTTCAGAATGTGTTTTTTTCTTTTTTAGTTTGTTTGGGTGGAATTGGGACCCTTGAACTGATACTTGTTGCCCAGTCCCATCAAATCCAGGATTTGGCAACACGTCTACCATCGCGATCGCTGAAGGGTGTAGTCGTAAGGGTTGCGATCGCTCAGGAGGGTCAATTTCTCACCAGCATGGCCAAACTTGATGGACTTTTTGAGGAGTTCTTGTACACAACATTACACAATCATTACACACATATTTTCCATATGTTCCATATTTTTCCTGGCAAACTTGGGAAACCGTCGCCCGGTGATATCCCAAAATTGGGTCCCGAATCCCGTCAAATCCATCGGTGGGTTTTTTGGAGGTGACCTGCTGAGATACGACCGGCAGCTGCGCAAATGGCTAGGTCAGCACGGAGCCAGGATGGTTCGGGGCACCCAACTCCCAAGAAATCTTGGTGGAAAATCCCAAGAATGGATGGTAAAATATGGTAAATACCATGTGAATGATCATGAATGATCAAGAATGACATCAAATCGCTGGGTTGGCCTATAATATGAAGATAAGTGATGCAAAGAGATTTTGAAAGGAAAGTCTAATGTGAGTGTTGTTCGGTGCTCCATATATCTTTACAGCCTTGAAATGCCTTGATCTTATTTCCGTAGCTATGCGTGTGGCATGTGAAAATCTGGTCAGTATTCCTAGGTAATTATGGTGCATATGAGTCTGGACATATCACAATTGGATCGCGAAGACGTGAGGATTTGGCAATGCATACCCCTTTGAATTGGTAGTATTATTATATTACTATACATACATATTATATATATATGCATATATTGTGATAAGAGCAAGCAATCGCGGGCTCTGGTCACTGCATGCAAGCACTCATGATCGCCTGCCACGCCAGGCGATCGGAAGCTGTTGCAGTTCCTGGCGTTGTATCCACAGGCGTGGGAAATCCATGGCTTACATGGAGGGTTCGTAGTTATGAAACTATTACCATGGGTGTGAGTGGGGATGGAGTGGGAATCAGAACTATTATATAATTATATATATAATTCTCTGACTCTAATTGATGTTAGATGGACATTCAATTGTAGAATGGCAATGCGAAAGTCTTTGGCAATTGGGATTGAACATTGAATTATTGAGAGAAAATCAATAATGAATGTTCGCCCTTTGGTCATCAAACAGCCTGGGAAATCCCTGGTGAATAGAGGTTCTAGTGGGAAATTCATGGATTTTCAACTGCCAGGCTTGACCAGAGGGTTGTTTTGATTCAGTTCATTGCTTTATGGATGTAGTGTTCATGTGATCTTCAATGTTTGTTTCGCTAGAACTTGGTAATCTTGAAAATTGACTGGGTAAACCTTGGTGGCGGGAGTGCTCGGAGTATGTAATTACTGTACTAACTCGGATGCATATCCAAGTATAATTAGGGAAATTCAACCTTCAGGGAAGCTGGTTTGTAAATCTTCCCGTTGCCAGGAAAGGATTTCTCGCATGCTTCGCCAACAGTAATGGAGTGAGAACGGTGGTTGGTTCACCCTCACATGATATCCACGGTCCCAAAAGATCCAAATAGAAATAACATAGAATATTAAGAGTATGGTGACCTCATGATCTCTCGAAAACATCCAAAGCATTCTTCACACCTGGAAGAGAAATCCCTTTCATTATGCAATCCATGTGTTCCCCCGTAGAATGGCAGCTTTCAGGTCCCTTCAGGGCCCCAACCCATTTTGCGACACCAGATGTTCAGCCCGGTCATGTCTCTGCCACTCAGGTCTTTAGCGTTGAAGGGTCTCAACATCAGGCGATGGTGGTGTTTCCAGAAATGCTTTTGACATGACCCAAATTCCCATAGAAAAACTCTGTTTGCTCATGACATTCATGACCCACCTGCCACCACCAGCCCTGAAATTTCTCCATCCAGCTGGAAACTATAGGTGAGCCTGAAACCTGGCGTGACTGAAGATGTGACTGCAGATGGAGCTGTGACGGCAGGCAGTTTAAAGATGCCTCTAGAAAACTGATGGTCACTACTACTCACTACTTACAGAGCTGCTTGGGACTTGTGATGCTTGTTTGGTTGTCCTGGCTCACCTGATGCTCTGGACGTGTGGGCAACTGCAGGTGCTTCTCCCAAGAGTCTAAAGTCGGAAGAGGCAGTCCACTGCAGCACTTGCGGTGCTGCACTGCCATCCAGGACAGTGCATTTGGGTTCTTTGGAAACTAATTTGTCATGTGTATGGCTCAACTATTTAGAACCAGGGTACCAAATAGACTCAACAGATTCACAACAGTGTTGAGTCTTATTCAACCATCAGTTTCTTGGGGTTGAGAATGGCCCCAAGCCTCAAGTCTGCCGTTCAACATGCCCCCGGTTCCACAGGAACAAGCTCTTTGCCCACCTCGCTGCCGCCCATGGCCTTGAACGTCAGCAAAAAGCGCCGGAGGACGTGCCCGAGGATCAGTTGCAGCGAGCACTGCAACGTGAGTCCATAGCTGGACTGAGATATGAATCTTGGACTGGTGGATTGGCATCGGGAATATGGAATATTATGGAATCTCCTCTATCACCTTGAACTGCTAGTGTAGGGGGGTGTGCACAGTATGATGCAGTATGTCCGGCTGTTTTCATGTTCTGTGATTCATTGACATTTTGATGGTGGCTTAGTTGGTTCTTCCAGAGCTTCACATGCAGAGAGCGCTTTGTGTCGTGGTTTGGCTTCGAGTCCTTGACAGTGTTCGATCTAAGGTTATGGAAACCCGTGGTGAAGGGAACCTTGGCCAACATTTTGGAAAGCGATGGATATGAAGTGCATCTGTAGCAGTTGCAGTAAAGTTGCAGTAAAGTTGTTAAGTGTAGCCATTCCATTCCTATGGTCCACGAAAAATAGTCCAGTTTACAAGAGTTGGAAGTTCCGAGCATCCGGGGACTGATCTGATCTGTTTCATTCTGTGCCTGACAATTGGAGCTTGCCCTTCAAAGCTATCGCGTCGGACTTCCATTTTTAGGCCCAAGGATTGAGCTACATTGAGCTGCACGCTTGCCGTTGTGTTGCCATGATATGCCATGATTAGGTGCAAGAAGTCCTGGACATTCCTCCGCCAAAGATGTATGTTGAATTCTGCCTGGCCATTCTCTTCTGACACCGGTTCAAGTGGGGTCACTGATGCAAGCCTTGTTTTTGGCAAGCTTTCAAAGACCATCCATCGTGGATTCAAGTTTGACCGCATGTTTCCCAGTGACGATTTAGATCCAAATGCCCTCCTAGAGTTGGATCAGCTGGCACTGGTGAGCATGAAAACACAAGATGCCCCACGAAGCGTCATGGAAAAAATCGTTCGGCTCTTGCGTGACTTTGGTCAAAAGAAGGACCTGGAGAGATATGGTCGCTACCTGCTGAAGAGGCAACGTTCTCGCACGTCTACTGAGGTCCCAGGAGTTTTGCCTTCAGCCTTTCTGCCCGAAGATCGGGATGACAATGGCCCACTGGCAAAGATGCGGAAGAACCCTGCATTCAAAGACCTTTTCGAACATGCTGGTGTCAGCAGCATGGATGATTCGACCATGCGTCGGCTGGCCATGGCGCACAAGGAGGACCGGAGGCATGTCTTGTATCAGATGTTTTGGTCCCCTGAGGCTGCCTTGACCTATGTGGCACATCGCTACCCAGCTACTTGGGCTTCGAACTTCCGGGTGCTATATGAATTGGCCCGGCGGGCTCCAGATTTCCAGCCCAAACGTGTGATGGATTATGGAGCTGGGCCAGCACCAGGCCTGACCGCGGTGCAAGAGATTTGGCCTGGGATCATGGAATATGCCACTGCCATAGAGCCCTCCGACCATATGACGCAGCTAGGGAAGTATCTCACCACTGACCTGGAAATGCCAGAGATTCACTGGCAACGCTGTTTGTATGACTCAGTAGAGGAGCCTCTGGATTTGATCATCGCGAGTTATGTTCAGATGGAGGTGAAGGGCCAAGTCTCCCGCGATGCTTTGGTGAAGCGACTATGGTCCAGGCTTCGCCCTGGGGGGGTCTTGGTTTTGATTGAGCCGGGTACTCCCACAGGCTTCCGCTTCATGCACAACACCCGAGAGTTATTGATTTCTCGCGTTGGCCCGGACAACTTTCATTTTGTTGCGCCCTGCCCTCATGAAGGCATGTGTCCACTTGCGCTCACCGGCAGAGATTGGTGCCACTTTTCGCAAAGGGTAAGGCGAACCCCTCACCAGGTCTATTGCAAAGGATCCACCCGTCGATTTATGGAAGAGGAGAAGTTCAGTTTCCTTTGCATTCGTCGTTCCCCTGGGCCCAGGTCCAAATATAGCTGTGTGGAGCATGCGCCCACCGCGCATGAGAAGTCTTACTTTTGGCCTCGGATTATGTTCCCGGTGATCAAGGCAGGTGGCCATACCCTGGTTGATGTTTGCTGCGCTCCTCAGAATTTCGAACGTATCAGCACCTCTCGGAGCAAGGCGCATTCCTTCGGGTACCGGTGGTCCCGTAAGGCCATGTGGGGTGACCTGTGGCGCTTTCCGAAACGAATCGCGCGACCGGAGGCAAGGCTGTACATCCCCGAAAAGACCCGAGAGCATTTGGATCGTTTGGCGAAAAGAGCCTGGAAAGCTTTGAAGTGGGAGGAGAATGAGCCCGGATTCGTTGAGGAGAAGGAAAGAGATCAGCAGTTCTACGGTCACTGATGCCGGTCCGGAAAACACGAGCCAAAGTGCTCCAGGACAGCCTAAAAATGCGTGCCTCCATGTAAGTTTTAAACCAGCATAAACCAGCATGTTTCCACAGGTGCCACAGTTTGGTCCTCCTGCAAGAAACATTCAAAGCCGAACTGTGGTGGGTAGGTCGTTGTGATTGTTTGTGGGTATATGTTTCCCAAGTCACTTCTCCCACTCATTCTACTTTACCATCTTGTTTGCCAGGACCCTGTTGTTAGAAAGATGTACTGTATGGCCCAAAAATGCAACGTAAAACCCCAAATCAGCCTACCTCTGATATTGCATATAGTTATAGGCTACAGGCTAGGTGTATCTATAATACATACTATACATCTATATATCACACATGCAAATAAATAAATATATTGAATAAATATAGATAGATAGATAGATAGATAGACAGATAGATAGATAGATATATACATATATACAGTATATTTATTTATTGACATCTCGCGATATAAAGCAGCAACATTGCCCAAAAAGACTCACAAAGAGAACAAGTTGCAGCTGCTGAGGCGCGCCCCTGTTCGGCTGGACTGGGTTTGCACCGTGCCCCGAGTTCGGCACAGCTTGATCCTTTGGCTGCGTGCCAAAATGTTGAAAGGTGACGCTGGCCGCTGGATCACGGTGCTTGTTTTTATGGTAATTCTGCAGTGGGATCACTGGAATCTACACCCAATTTTGAAGGTAAAGAAGTCTCAAGTGGCTCAGCTGGTCAATTTTGGTCAATTCCATGTACTTTTAAAAAGGTTGCGAAGGTTTGCTGAAGTGCGGAGGACTATGTGAATCCTTGGCCGCTGGCATCATGGGGCAAAGCACCATCTCACAGGGGAGAGTTGGGTATCCATTGGGTATCCAGTTTGGGTTGTTTACTGTCTCTATAATTATGAAAAATATTAAAACATATTAAAACTATTTATCGGTACCTAGGCGTATTTATTGGTAAATTTATGGATATTCCCCGGTATTTATGGATATGTAATGATATATGTATCCCTTGTGATTAATTACTGTATGCGTACATTAATTTACCATGGTACAGTGTGCATCCTTCTGTGGACAGGCGATCTTCCACAGCATGCGCCCTGGTCAGTGGGCTGGTGGAAAGTGGCCATCGTGCAATACTTGCAGTTCATGGAGGAAAGGAGATGGATCAATTCCTCTAATCTCTTCTAATATCCTCCAATATCCTCTAAGATCTACAGATATCTACAGTACCTCCATGATTTGTATGATTGGGGATGAGCATTTTTGCATTCCAACCATATAAAGTAACAACAGGGGACAGCTGAAGTCTAGGTGCTAGAGCTCTATGGCTCTACGCATATTCAAACTTGAAAACAGGTCATCGGAGTGTAGACTTGCCACCCAATCTATATACTTGCCCACAGACTCGATGCATGACCTTCCTCGTTTTTGTTGTTTCTCAAGAACCTTGGTGCGGCCGAACAGGAGAGGCCCAACATCTTCCAAGTTGGTGCCCATGGGGGTCCAGAGGCACCAGTGTTGGCGGCAGCCCTAAACTGATCTTCTGGGCAGTTTGGCGCAAGTTCCAATGTGGGCAGGGCATGCTACTGAAGAATATTTTTATATATGTTTCGCAATGGAGGGTGGTTCTCGCTCTCAACCCCTCAGCTAGTACCAAAGAATTGATTGACAATGCATTCTGTGAGCTATGGGGAAGGAAGCTCAATGGTAACATCAACATGCCACAACCACTTGGCACTGTGAAGTATACTGTAAAGCTTTAGATGCTTGCAGAAACGGATCTTGATATACCTGAGTTCACCTGATACATCCTGATATTGACATCATTCTATAACATACAATAAATCCAATAAATTAATGTAAATTGAATCCAATAAATCAATGTAAATCTGGCATTGTTTGCCCTTCCGATCAACATGTTACAACTCTAATATCCGAGAGGCGAAAGATGGAGAAGTTCGACTGCGGAGGAAACTTGGCCACATCAATGGGGGCCTTTCCCAGGCTTTCCCATGCTTTCCCATTGTGGCAGTCAACACCTGTACGATACGTGGTGAGCCAATTACCAATGAAAAGTTTGGAAAAGCATGCAACAGCATTACAATATATTACAATATATTACAATCATTACACTTCAACAATGTTCAATTTTGACCTTAAACTTGAACCAACATACCCAGTCACCGCTGAACATAAGCCCTGTTACCCAGTTCCCGCTGTGGCGCCAGGACTCTCGTGGCGCTCAGCCCATCTGCATGGGACCAGACGGAGCAGCTTCAAGACGAGAGCCAGGATGCAGCTGTGGCCCATGGCAAGCCAGATCAGATAAGGTGCCCTTTGGTTCTCTAACATCCACCATATATATATAATAATATATATAATATATATATATACAGTATATGGATATATACATTATATATATATACACACATGCATGTAAGTATGTATGTATATGTATACAGTATATACTATTGGAGAGTTAGATAACCAAAGGGTACCTATGTGGAAATATATGTATAGACATTACTGACATTCCACAAAATCGATGCTATCCTTTATTTCTCTATTGAACATGTGATGTTGAGTAAGTTGAGTTGCCAGCTTGATTGTCCGAAGGGGCATGATTACCTTGATCACTAGAGTGTTCCATGTCGGCTCAGGCAGCTGAGGAGTGAGAGATCAGCGCATTTGAGATGTGTGATGATCTGGCATGCCTTCCATGAAACACCATGGTCACATGATGTCACATCAAATGCCATGGGTGAGCAAGAAATTTCGATACCTGGGCACATCGCTCGTAGATCATGGCATCATCATGGGATATCATGGTGCGCCGAGCGTAATCCTTCAATATCAGCTTTTACATCTGTATCCCACTTCATTCGAAGTGGGTCTGTCTGAAAAACAGGGTATCCAAAAAAACTAGTGGCTAATCAGAATATATGTTCTGGATCGTTCTGGTGTCATTCTTCTTCTGTCATTATTTGGTGGTTTCTTAAAATGGTGAGTACCCCCATATCATCAATTTGAATAGGTTTTTCTATTAAATAAACCATCCTTTTTTGGTTCCTCCATTTATGGAAACCCCGATTTGTTGTAAATCCACCTTCAAAATGGTTGGTTTGGTCACCAAAAAACGGCCCTGTCTCAGGAGCAACTTGCTGGCAGAGTGGTACAACTCCTGCAGGCACTGCAGGCGCTGGGCCGACAGCGAATTTGGCCTGTGGTTGTCTCCGATCGGGTGATTTTCCTCAATTTAACACACACATATTGGTTGAAGGGAAACTCTAAGAAGTACATTGTTACATTACCTTTTGGGTTCTATTTTTTAGACTGAACTATGAGACAGAATTGCACATCACCGACTTGGATAGCTCACCGTTCCATCTATTCTGTGCATGGACAGTCGGGCGCAGGGTTGCCCGGGGGGTCGTCAGCAGGCTGATCCTACAAAGAAGAAGTTCGCCTATCAATTGCTCAGTGACTTGCCAGCGATTCTTGTAAGTCACCAGATTCAACCATGGCAGCCGATGGTTGCATGATGGTTATCTAGGGGAATTGGTCAAAACAAATAAATTATTCAATGTAAATGATGTTCCCATGTTTTCATGCCCTTTGATGTGAACACATCAACTCGCCTAAAAACCATGGTAACATCAGATTTTGGGGGGCGAAGATCCATAACAGTTTCGAGCCAGGCGAGGTGGCCCAAGATTCGGGTCTACAACGCTTGCTGCATGGACGTGCCCAGTGGTGACTACCAGAAGTTGGGAGATAACCTTTGCAACTATGGCAACTACAGCAATATACCCACTGATTGACTGGAACTGCACCCCTAACTAAGATAACTAAGGGGTTGCGAAGAGTCATGCCTCTCCTGATGAGAAAGCGCAAAGGCAAGGCCACAGTTTGTCCACAGTGACAATGTGATGGTTCGTGGTTTGATCTTTGAGCATGTTTGATCATTTTTGAGCATGCTGTTCCTTTGGCAAGTGGAGGTATTCTTTCAAAAGCCTTGGCTGATGACCCGAGATTTGTTACTTGGCTTGAGGATGACTGAAGGGCGGAAGGGTTTTGGCTTTGGCTTTTGATGGTTTGGGGTTTCCTTGTAGAACATGGCCAGGGTTTCCGATGTTTCCAGTCGCAACCTTTCGTTTTTTTCTTGTCATGTCGTTTATTTACGGCATGCCAGCTGTATAGCTATCTCAGCATGGTAGCATTAGCACAAATATTCAGCCTGCCTGGCAAGATGATGTGGCTTTCAATGCAAATGTTGCACTGCAACAGAGCTTGATGGAATGACCACTCTGAACATGCGCTAAAATGTCACATATGTCACAAGCTCCAATAAAATGCAATACACACATCTATCTCAATTGAATCAGATATCTTCAGAATAGTTGCACTATGTTGCACTATGACACCCTCTTTGGGGTCAACTACGCTCATGAGGAAGCAAATTCTAACAACCCAACCCTGCCAAGGGGATTGCAGCTAAAGCTGGTTCAGTCATGTGGCTGTTGGTCCATACCGTAGACAGCCCCAACATTGTTTTGTAGTTCGCATCCCAACACCAGGTTAACCTTGGATGGGAAGTTTAATCCTTTAATATTTTGCTGTAAGTAGTAATGTCTACCAACCAGCTAACAATTCCCCAAACAGTGTGTCCAGACTGAGGGGTGCTTACGGTAGGTGTAAAAGGCTATAGATCAGGGTGCTCCATTTGTTCTGCGAATTTTTCACTGTAAATTCTCGCGTGAAGTGGCCTTCTGAGACGTCCATGTGCATTTCAACTGTTTAACTTGATCTGTTACTAGCTACTGTGGCTTGTATCTGGTACATTGGCTTCCTCCCCCCCACACTGTTTGGTGTCTCTTGCCGGTGTATTTTTAGCAGAGCATCCAAGAGTAGCAATGGACATATCCCAGCCAAAAACTTCAGCAGTCTTGGGGAATGAAAACCTCGGTCAGTGAAAAATCCATTACCAATATGGCCATGGCCATAGTAGCGGAAACGGTTTTCCTATGGCCAGGATGGATGACGAGTGCGACATCCTCCATTAGATTGTCTGAACAACCGGACATCCCCAGGTAACATCCACTAAAAATTGAAATCCCAGGTCAATCCACTAAAATCATCTAAAATCCATTAGAATCCTCTGGTCACTTTAGTGACAGGACGTCGTTGAACATCCCCGGCACGGCATCATGATCCGCCTCGCGGCAACTTGGGAAGTTGCCAAAGATCCGCTTGGCGAAGATCGGGCGACGTGGTGAGAAGGATTTGCGTTTTTTTTTTTGCGGGGGAATTATCGTTAGATCATGTTGATTATGTTGGATCTCTGATACCTTTGGTATCTTTGGGACCAGTTAGATTTGGTGTTGAAAGGACCTGAAGATGCTTTTGTTGAGGCTCGCAGTCATGTTTCAAGAGCGTACTACTGTACAGCCCCCATACAATGGTATGCAGGTAATGTGTGAACCCAACGGTAAACCACCCCCATTTACCAAATCGCTTGCCAGAAATGGGATGCAATCATTATTGAAGACAATCCCCCAACCAAAAGGTTTCGGTTTCATGAGTTTCATGACATTTTTCGTTAAATGTGCACAGAAACTTGAGAATTGCATTCGGAATGATTCGGCAGGGTATATAGGGATTTTAAGGGGCATGCCTCATCATGCCTGTTTCGCCCTCAAGGCCAAGGGCAAGCAGCCGTTGATGGAGGTTTCGGTGTTGACTTGTCAGGATGGTTATGCAGCCATTCTGGACAAGCCGGCTGGCACCACTACGGAAGAGTTGATACGTCAGTTTGAGTCAACTGCCTTGCACTTCAGTTAGTTATCTTTTGGCCTTGATTTTCTGAATTCAGAACAGTGTGGCCAGTGGGGTATGAATTTTGCATAATTTTGCCACTGTTTCTTACCGCATCATGGTGCACCATGTTCAGGTTCCATCTGGGCCCGGATGTTGGAAATGGAGATGGTTTGCAGAGCGTATCGCGCCTGGATGCGCCAACCTCCGGCGCGTTGGTTGTGCCTTTGTCCCAGGCAGCTGCGGAGGAGTTGAAAGGTCGCTTCGCAACCCGCTCTGTGGCTGGACACCAAAAAAACTTGGCATTGAGAGATCCACAACGATCAACTGAATATATCCTGTACTTGACTTAATTGCACTTATCTATAATAATGATTATTGATTCTATTTTATTGTTTCTGTCATCATGTTTATATGTGTATGTATGTATATATATATATATGTATGTATGTATGTATATAATAATATTGTAGATTGTTTTGCTTTGTGGATCCCACATGTTCTTTTTCTAGTGTCTGTCTTCACCACGCTGAGCTATGAGTGAAGTCTTGAGGGATATCACTGGGATCCACTGCCGGGGATCCAGGTCACGAAAGCCTACCTCGCGCTGGTGCTGGGAAGTGTTCCTGAGCAGGGTGAAGTCAATGCCAAATTGCGGAGTTTCCAAACGGTGGATCGCTACCGAGCCGTTGTGCACCCCTATGGAAAGGAGGCCGTGACCCTCTTCCAAAGACTGGCAGTGCTGCCCTGTGTCGCTTGCTTTTCAAAACGGTAGATGCAGAAGATTTCAAAAGATGTTTGCCCCTGAGGTAGATCATTAAATGGATTTAAATGGGGGGTTCCTAAAATGGGTGACCCCAAAATCATCCAAGATTGGTTATTATCAATGGGAAAATCAATGGTTTGGGTACCCATATTTCACGAACCCCCAAATGGTTTGTTTGGCCATGACTTTCCTGGTCTACTACCATCAGTGGCTGCGGTTGGGAATGAAAAAGACGGCCACGCTGGAACTTGAACTGCGTGTTGGGCTTGGTTGGGCAAAGTTTGAAACTTATTCGAGACCCTTCAAGTTCATTTTGTACAGGTGTGACTCTTTGTTCGCTAGACCAACCACCCTTTGCGACGCTCAGGATGAGCATTGTGAGTCTTACTCCCTGGTGTTGGCGTGGCCGTTGACAGGGCGTATGCATCAGATTCGAGCTCACTTTGCACATCTGGGTTTTCCCTTGGCAGGGGATGTGCGCTATGGACCCCGAAAGGTTCCAACTGCACGGTTGGGATCCAGGCTTTTTCTACATGCTGCCTACGTTTCTGTATCTACTTCACTCACTGCAGTGTCACCGCTGAAAGCTGACCTTTTGGAGCCGTTGAAGGACAGTGGCGCCTCTAGTGTGTTTGTATATTGGGATTACTCAATTTGTCACAGGTCACTCAGAGCATGGAAACGCGTGTTCTTTTTGGAACGCAAAGCGATCAGGCTGATATGAAATTGCACATACTTGGTGAAAGCCCTAAGTTGTCTCAGGCAGCACTTTGTTGTCTCATCTCGGTGTGCCATGCGAAAGATCTGACACAACCATTAGTATGTATCATAATGTATCAGTATCTCCGTGGTTCGAGCATGACATTACATATAGAGGTGCCTCAATATTAGAATCAAGCTTTGTTTGGCCACCCCTGCCTGAGAGCCACAAAAACATGGAGTAGATTGCCCAGTAATGCTGTGGAATGCCATGTTTGCGTACGACCTGCCAGTAGTGAATTTAGGATGTGCTTCCAAGATTGCAATTTGGAAGCATGTATGCTGCACGAGGTTTCAGACAACTGTTTTTTATTTTTATTTTTGTCGTTTCCAATCAATGCCGTTTTTTTGGAATGATGAAATCTGCACATTTTCCCAGGGTTGAAGTACTTCCAAGACTTCCAAGCAATGGTGACCCGCCGTATATCCTTGATATTCCTTGATAGTTGGTGCTCAATAACCGCCTAACAGTAGTATATAAACCCATATAAACCCTTGTAATCCCTTATCATTAAGGAATTGTATGTTTTAGTTATTTGTATCTTTAGGACTTGCTGTTGAAATCCACCGTTTATAGCAATTTATAGGCAGAGTTGAATTCCCATGGCTTTGGTTGCCTTGAACTTTGCCAGGAACTGATGATTGATGCGACTTTGCTAGAGCAGTTGGAGCACACGGAATTCTACACCGAACGCCTCTCGACATAGAGCACCGGTGTCGAAGGGGAAGGGCGTCATGGTTTCTGGGACTTGACTCCTAGTTGCAGCCCTAAAATTGTCGGGAGTTTCCACATCCATCAGATGATTCAAGAGTGAAAAAGATGTTTCTGTCACTTTTCCCCTTTCTTCACGTTGGAAGGGCGGCCACCGGGCAGATCCGGGCAGCCACTTTGGACTTAGTCACCTTGCCAGCGACCACCAGAATTGCCGAGGATTTGGCGAGCTGCAGCTGGCCTCGAAATCCATTGCGCCGGGATCTGACTCAGAGAGTTCAGTGCCTTGGTCAAAGAGAGTGATGAGAGTGCTGAGTGCTGCAAGATGCTCCAAGGGTGGCAAAGCTCTGGGAAATCGGAATGTGTCGGAACTCGATGATCACCATTTCGGTCACCTAGAGCTTTTGCTGGTGGTAGCCCAACGCATGTTGAGAAATGCCCAAAATATGCTGATACATAGGTGTCACTAAAGCACGCTCAAGCATTCCAACCCAAAGATTCATGCAAATGTTAGGGACAGCTTCAATGAGATATGTCAATTCCATTCAATTCCAAGTGTATACTGCAGCCAGTTTGATGCCTTCCTGTCCAATCAGGTACTGTAGCAAGTCATTCAATTAATGTTCAACGTCCAAGCTGTTGCGACGGACTGCAGGAAAGCACCGAGAATCTGGAGATGCTTCTTTCCAAAGAGAACCGTAGCGATCTTCGGCAGCAACATGCAGCAACGCAACCTGTGTGCAACGAAGACGGCCTTTGAAATCTTTGACATTTCTGTACCCGGCAGCGTGTGTGTAAACCTCCTTTTTTATTGCCCCCCTGGGAATGTGAGATTCTGGAAGTATAATGTGTATAGTGGGCCCAGCAATGAAGGGTGAGATGTGGTTCCTAGCATGTTGCATTTATGATTACTTTATTTTGTACCGCGTTTCCTTCATAAATGTTAAGCTGTTCACGGGTTTAGCCACCACTTGAGCATGGCTAGTCTTGGTTCAAGGTTCTCGCCACACCTTCAGCTTTGTGTTCAGATCAACATGTGCAAATTCAATCCACTGGGCTGAAATCATCACAAAATGACCTTGCCGGTGGAATACGACGGGTGCAGCTGTGTGGGTCAATCTTGGGGACCCTCAAAGCCTCTGAATATCTCTGAATGTCTATGGGTCAATCTATGGATAATTTATAATCTATTTTCCACCAGCTTTACCACCAGATTTCTGAGCCCCTCCGCCATGGAGCAGTTCCTGGAGCGTCGCTTGGAGCCGCTGTGGGAGTCCAGTTCCGAGCAGTGCCAGGGCTGGGCTGGGTCACGTCAATGGCGGGACAGGGTCAACATCAACAAACCATAATGGCGTTCTGTTCAATTTTGGATTGAAAAGTTCAGGTACCAGAATGAAATGACCACACCCACCAAGTAAAACTGCGAGTGAGCCAGGTACACTTCATCCTTCTCATCCTCCACTGGAGCAATTTTGCTTGGGAGAGGTGGGTGTGAACCCCCTCAGCCCAAATGGAAATTAGATTTCTCCCTGGCCAGCCGTCGTCATTGCTGGTTTCAACATGCTGAAACTTCTCAAGAGATCGTCGTTGTGGATGTCAGCAGGGGTGGCACCTTCATCAATGGCAGTGCTGTCAGTCGATCCAAGGGCACGACGTTGGCAGATGGCGATATCCTATCTTTACTGACGCCTGTGGGCCACGAAACGGCAATAAACTCAACCATCCGCGCTTGGAAGGCGCACATCAAACCTTCGCAGTTGACCCCAGCTGTGACATCAACGGCACCTGTGGCCCCTGACACTGTTGTACCCACGGCGCCTGCACAACCTGCACAACCTCCGCAACCTCCGCAACCTGCACCTGCACGGCCGCTGGTGTCTTTTCAAGTGGCGCGGCCCAAGATGGCCAGTGTTGGTGGCACCTCTGGATATGCTGCAGCCCAGGAAGCACGCGACTTCCTGGAGAGGATCGGCAGGACGGTGGAAGAAGTGGAAGAGGTGCCAGGCGGCTCCAGATCTGCTGTGGAGCCGGAGCCCGAAGAAGGACCTAGACATGGTGGACTCTCTGAGAAAGCCACTGGTGGAGAGGAACCAGAGGAAGAGGCTCATAGTGATCAACAGGCCGGGTTGCAGGTCACTCCAAGTCACCCCCATTTGTTTTGAATATTTTTGAATCATGAGGAGAGTTTTACCGTTCCCCATGCGAGCCCTACCCCAATGCGGGAGACCTCCTGCACTGGTCGCCTGAGGTCATCGAAACAGCCCAGTGGCTTTCGCAGCTTCAGCTCACAGAGCCTCAACCATTGGCTACGGAGGCGAAGGTTGAGGGGCCAAAGGAGCAGTATTCCAGTCAGTATGCCATCATTGACACCAATCAGATGTTGGACCACTTGGATGCTGTAAACAGCTTGCTGGAACATGTTGTTGCTTGAATCTGATTTCATTGCATTTCTATTAAAAGTTATATGTTTCGTGATTGCAGGTTGTAGTTGTTACTGTATGTTCTTGTTGATTTGTTGTAAACTCGTTTCTTGGGTTTGCAAGATGCAGAATGTGAGGTTCGTTTCAGGTCGTTCTCCCACAGATGCCCACGCTGTTGGTGAGTTCAATCATGTAAAATCCAATGTTAAATCTCAAGCTTGCGATGTTTTGTGATGCCATATGCATCTACATAATTCTATATACATATATGCTGTTTACATTGTTTACAGTATATGAAGTTGTTACTTGTACCACCGAAAAATTGCAGCTGAAGCCCAGGTGGGTGTGAACGTCATCGTTCCTATCGTCGTTCTCCACGAGTTGGACACCATCTCCAGACGCGGCGCTGGCGCGGTCGCGGCCGTGGACGCCACGAAGGCGGCGGCGGCGCGCTGCGCCCGGAGCTTTCTGCAGCGCTTCCTCACCGGGCAACGCTGCTCCTCGGGCCGGGAACGGAGTAGCATCAGCTTGCAAGAAATGATGGAAGCTCTGAAATACAAAGCGCTGAATATTTTCGTTGATCTTTGACGTAGTTATTTCTGGAAGAACGTTTCATTGTAATGAACTATAATTATATATAGTAACTATAGGATTGAACGGGAACATATAGTTGCGCAGCGGGTTCTTCTAATTTTCTTCTTCTAATTTTCATCTTGTGTATCTTGTGCTATCTCACTTCCCCTACTGCTATGCCAATGCCAGGAGAGTTTGTCAGCTGAAACTCGTGGAGTTCGGCCAAACAATGATGACCAGATCGTAGCTGGCTGGTGGTGGTAAGATGTTTTAGTATGTTTTATATATAATCATGATCCACTGTTTTCTCTGGGATGGTGATCGCCAACGATTTATATATTTAATAATATATATAATATATAATATATATATATATATATAATATAACTATATATATATATATATTACTCAATCTTTTTCTGCGGGGTCAAAACCACTTCAAGCAGGTCGCTTGCGCCCTGTACTTTGCCACTCGCGTGGCACCCAGCCGCACGGAAGTCTTCACCGAAGATCGAGGTCTGGCAATCAAGCTCCGGGCGCGTGCTGTGCCAACTGAATCGGTGAATGCTTGTCTCACCCGTGGACTTGCAGGGTCCAGCAGGACTTAGGCCCCATTCTTTGCTGGATATAGGAATGCCAATGGAAAGCCATTGACTGAGACTACATATTCTCTGGCTGGATTAAAGGTAGGCTTTCAGGGCATATCTTGCATTGGAAGGAGTTCTGGGGTAACAGTCCGCATGCGAGAAGGAGGTGCCCACAGCCAGCAAACCAAAAGCAAGGTGAACTCAGAGATGAAGGCAAGAACATGGATTGTGTGGTGTTCATGAGCAGCCTAGACTAAGAAGATGGAGTATATGGAGTGTACGCGAGAGAAGCTCACGTCGTGAGTGTTTTGTTTGACAAGTGATAGAGGTTCCTGGGCCGTTTGTTGGTCCAGTCACAATCTGAACGAGCCTTGTGTGATGGAAAAAGGTGCAGCGGAACAGCAAGCGGATCATTCTTTCGGACTATTTTAGTGGACCCAGACGTGTGGAAATTTGCAAGCTGTGAATCTGTGAATGTTCATATTGTTCATTTGCTGACAGGCCTGTGCCTCTTGACTCCAATCCCTCACAGCATCGCATTTGCCGCTAGTCAGGCCACTATAACAATCCATAACACTACAAATCATTACACTATATTACACTACTAGTATAGACTATATTTAAAATATCACACTATATTATGTTACACTACGTTCCCCGGTGTGGAACGAAAGACAACCCAACAGAAACCAAACTGATTGGGACCTATAGAATGGTATGAACTGGTATATATAAATAAAAGCTTCAAACAATCCCAATCATTTGGGATGGCTATCCAAATTAATTTTAATGTAAAATTGCACTTGCATACTTAGTTGATGCTACTCGACTTGAAGTTCACTTTCACTTGCGGCGCAACTTAAAGCTGATGCACGCTTGCTGCACCACTTGAATTTCACTAGCAATTGTTACTTGCAATTCACGTGTTCTCAGCTCCCGAGGCCCACCCCACTCCATCCTTGTAGCAAGCATAAAATCCGGGCAACCCTCCCGCCTCCAACCAGCACCCAGCATGTTGCAACTAAGCGGTCCTGTTTTAGTCGCCCTTTGAGGATGTCGACCCGGCTCTTGGTTCGCGCCCGAAGCTGCAAGCACCTCGTGCTCCGCAACCAGAACGACCCCAACGTGTGGAGCAACCAGAGGAAGGTGGAGTAGGTGGCTGAACTGGTAAAACTTGGGACTTGATCCGTGGAAGTGAACATTACTGTGCATATTTGTGCATAATTAGTCTGCATCGTTACTGCATCGTTATCAAGATATGTGTGTCCTACCATTGAGAACTGGTGTCTGCTCGCTGACCCGTTTCAGGTTTCCTTCCCGGCCCTCGGGTGCCATCTCTGAAGCAACCCCAGCAGCCACCAGGTGGGCGGAAAAAAGTCAAACATAGTGCTGGCAGGGTGGCTGATGGAGAAACATTGGGGGGAACTGTTGGATATAGTCAATTTCATTCAATTTCCCAGCGTTCTGCAATTGGTTTGAACATGACAGTGCAGCCGGGTGTCAAAAGAAAAGAGCTTTTTGGACATGCTAAAGGTTCTTGAGGCCGCAGTGACATGGTCTGACATAGTGTTGTTGATTGGAGCGGCTGTATATACATACATATATATATATTATGTATATGATCTATATATTATGATCTATCATTGCATCATGGGCTCGGGCAATAATCGCGGCACATAGGTTGAGTATGCTTGGCACTGACGATAGAGTCGAGGCAGTAGAGAAATGAATCTGATTTGTAGTTGCGCAAGGCCAGTTCGCCCATAGAGAAAGCAATGCAGAGCAGAGAGGAAAGGACAGAACTAGCCGCAGCCCAGACTGTTTTTAACCTTGGCATATGGCATGCATCACCGACCCCAAGATGGTGGATAAATCTCTCACACTCATCCTGGAATCCAGCCCTGCAGCTTTTGCCTCGCAGCCGTTTGGGTCAAAACGCCCCGGCCGCCGTGGAGATCCTCAGGCAATGGGGACAAATCGTTGGGAGCACTTGCTTTGGTCGAAAAAAACATTATGGCCGAAATGCACAAACAGACGGGCACACACACACACATTACATTACAGTACATTACAGTACATTACATTACATTATACATTACATTACATTACATAGCGTAACATAACATAACATACACGCATACACACATACATAAATAAATAAATATAAATATATATATATATATATTAATATATATTAATATATATTAATATATATTAGTAAAAAGATGGTATGGAGAGAATTAGATGGAGATGTAATCATGCATATGAAAGTATATCAGTTCACAAAGTTATGATATAGAGTATGTGTGCTAAACGTGTGCACATACAGGTTTAGATAGACATTGAGTACAGTAAATATTTGCATTTGTATTTGCATATATGTAGATCTATAGGTTTGTGCACACATGTGCGCATGCAGGTATCTATCATTAGGCACCATGCCAAAGCATGCACTAGCCAAGCGTTCTCCAGGGGCCACCTGGTAGACGCCTGCAAATAGTTCAACCTTGTTACTTCCAGCTACATGTTTTGCTCTTGCATAGGCACTTCAGAGATGCGATGATGATTTTTAGTGGGAAAATGGTTTGTATCTCCCAAGCCAATGTGGGGATTGACCAAAGAGTTTCTTCAATGACTTGGTGATTTGGGCTCACGAATTCACATGCGCGCAGACCTGTGATCTCCGCAGCGAGTAGTTTAGGTCTCGAGCGAAGTAGCTGATTAAAGCTTGTGAACCCAGTATCACCTGCACTGCGATCATTTAGGTTACTTGAACCAGGAATGACTCAGCAACTCGTCTGCAACGAACTGCCGGGCACCCAGCCCTGAAAGTCCAATCTGCGATTGTCATGAAAGGAGCTCCATGGTTTTCTTTCACTTTGAAATGATTGGGTTGCTGTCAGAATGTCATAGTTAATGGTATGTATTTGAGTATTTGCTCTCAGGGGCCATGCAAAATGTCAGTTTCAGAAACATAGGAAGCAAGGTCAAAACAGATGTTAGGCGATCGTGTCATAATCAATGATCCCTGCTGATATTGGTATGTCCTCACCAAGATGCCTTGCCTGTAGGAAATGGTCTTGCAAAACCGGGGCCAGTGCTGTTTCCGCAAGATGCGCTAAGGTTGCAGCAGGAATCATCTGGTTCCGGAGCAGGAGCCGTCGTGGCAACCGTGGGCTGTTCTGTTCTTGGAATGATGCTTGCAGGCGGGATATGGTCTTGGCGGTCTCAGATGGGAAGCTCATCTTATTCTGCAGAAGGTTTGCCTGCATTTGCCTTCTCCAAGCCAGGGTAGGAACCCTGGTGTGCACAGTTGAAGATCAACAATTCTCCGATTATGATTTTGTACAACCATCATTCACCCGTGAAATCAATCATACAATATCATACATAAATATATAATCAACATTAAATATCCCCAATGTGCACCCATATTATCGTGGCATGGCACAGGCCCCGTGGGCGCCGTGATTGGCGGCACCCTGGCGATCGCGGCCACCGCGGGCACGGCGCACCGGGCGCGGCATGCCCGGATGGAGCTGAACATTTCCAGCATCAGCATGTGAAGGGCTCAGGGGATGGGAGATAAGCTAGCACAAAGTCATAGAATGCTATGTTATATGTGATTTATTTATATTTATTTATATTTATTTGCCATATGCTATAGATTTTATGGCTTATCGTTGAAGACTATTGTCTATCTTTGGCTCTACTTCAAACTGAAGTTGTTGAACAGAACTTCTTCATAGAAGATGCTGGTCCCATGCTGGTCCCATGCTGGTCAGGGTGCCATGATGCGCCATGGGATGTGTGGAAGAGTTTCGGTGATCTACCTAGGCCACAAGATGGAATCACCCGCCAGGAGGGCGTGACATACTTTGAAACTGATGCCTCAGCTTGAGACAAAGTTTTGCATCGTTTTGCTATGCTAGGCTTATTTCTAAAAGTTCTTTAGTCATGGCACCTTTGTTGGGTTCAACCCAAAACCTGGACAAGTTCTTTTGACTTTACCAAGCAGGCTGTGGGGATTCTTCCTTGCAGCAAAGGCTCTGGATGTCGTGGATACCAAGGGTGCCACCTGGAGGGTGTTGAGACGCTACAACCACTTTGATCGCTTCCGAAAGACCCTGCGTCGATGTGGAGTTCGGAAACCTTTCCCAGGACGCAGCCAAGGGAAGGGATGTGGGTTTGTTCAGACATGGAGGAAACCCGAAATCCATCAAAGCCCATGGCTTTTCATTACATGTTCCTTCATAAAATACAGCAGAATGGCCCGTCCCATTCTTGGACACCTGGCCAAGGCATGTCTGTATCATGCCAGGTCTGGCATGATGGGATAAGATGGGCATGATTTGATTAGATAGATACATGATATCGATAATAAGATAGATAGACCAGTACAGAGTTCGCAAGATAAATAAGAAAAGACATGAAACGACACTCATACACAAAATACACAAACATATACAATATATGTCTGTATGTATACATATATATATATGTTTAATATATAGAATACATACATAGATGCATATATATATATATACATGTATATATATATATATTTAGATTGATAATATATATATATATACATTTACAGATACAAATTATGACATATGGTGTTTCCTTGTTTCCCCAGGAAAATTGTGGCTGGGCTGCGAGGGCGCTCGGCTCCGTGAGCGACGTCTGGGACTTGAGACCTGGACCCGGGAAGTGGTGCGGATCTACTCCGCCTCGGGAGTTCCAGGCGTGGACGACACTGGAAGGATGGGGACACTGTAAGGATTAGTAAGGGGTAACTGCAATCTATGGGGATTTAGATACGTAATTATATAAATATATTATATATATATAAATATATTATATATATTATATATTATATATATATTATATATATATTATATATATATTATATATATATTATATATACAGATGGGATAGTTATATCATAAATGTTAAAATCATGTTAACATGGGGTAACTATCCCAAAACAACCTTATTTAAGGTGAACTATTATAATTTACCCAGATTGTTGGATTTAACCAATGGATATTGGGGATCTCATCGGCAAACCATCTATTGTGATCAACCAATGGATTTAGTGGGACCAAATTTTCAGACAAACCGGGTTGAGAAAAAAGACTTGGGGATATAACAGGCAAAATGTGGATCTAAATGCTTTATTTAAATTCACATAAACTTGTGGATTTCGTAACTATAACCGAACCTTCTTTATTCAAGGGCGTGTGAACCACCATCACCCCGGGTTCAATCCGCGTGCTGATGCGTATGGATCAACTCTGGAAACCCACCATTTGTTCATGGAATCAGAACTGACGCGGTAAGGCGTCAAGAACTAGTGAAATCATGTGAAATCAACAGATTGAACGCCTTGGCGAAAGGAATGCTGGCTGCTTTCAATGAAATTGTCAGATGAAATGATGAATGATGCACTTTCTCCATGCCATGGGTTGCAAAGGTGGCGCCTGGCCTTGTTGTTTACACTTTAACCAGCCAACCGCTAACAACTCCTACCAGCACATCTCAACAGGCCGCCTGGAGTCGGAGTTCAATGATTTCTTCACGCGTGGACGTGGGCAAGTGACCATGGTCAACCAGCCTGGTGACACCGCGCTGCCCGAGGGGAGCTTCCCTATCGAAGTGCCGGCAGGTGTGGTGCCTGGCCAACAACTCACTGTGAGCCTGGGCTGGAGCAGCCAATGCCAGAGGCCTCCCCTTTTTTGAAGATACACTTAGAATTAATTAGATACAGTTAGTAATATTAGTATGGCAAATCTCAGGATCAACATAGTCAAGCCCCACTAACTAACCATTTGGTTGTGACAAGAAAAGGGACTAAGTGAGCCACAAGTGAACCCCTTTTCTGGGATGGTGGATTTTTGGGTTTCCTTCGGACCACACATGGCTAGAAAGTCCTTGGTGATGCGTGCTTCTTCTTGACCTTTCGGGTACCTCGAAGGAGTATCACATCATGTCTACATTAGAGTTTGCACAAACAAGATGTGTGCTGCAGAAGGCCCTGGTTCCATGCACAAACCATGATAACTCCCATAATGTCAAAGGGGAAATGATGTAATGATGTTCTAAGATGTTCTAAACCACCTTATGAGGTTCCCAAATTTGGAGACGACAAGCCACACGTCTGAGGAAAAACCCGGTGGATGGGTCGAGCTTCAATATCATCGTGCCCGAGGGCATGGGGCCTGGATCTGTCCTGCAAGTGCAACCGCCCCCAGCCGCCAGTGGAGCCGGTTCAGTACCAGATGCCACGGTGTGTCCAACACCCAAAGGCAGCTTCAGAGAAGACACTTGTTGCAAAAATCAGAGCTTCAATTCATTATGATTCATTATGATTCATTATTCTTTCGTGCCGCCCTTTTCTCTTCACTATTTGTCAACATATCTTAGATCCAGAACGGTCCAGATCTATATAGGTCACAGGGCAGAATTGAATTTGCAGTCCATTTTTGGTGGGTTTATCCTTTTTGTCCCGCCGCGGCATCGCGCCACATCTCCAAGGCTGATGCCGCTGAGCCGCAGACGATGCATGACTCAATTCAGAATATTTTTGATGCTGGCTTCACACTAAGATCATCCCTGATTCAACCTTGCAAACAGGTTTGGGCGATATCATGTTCATCATTGCAACTCTCACAATTTGGAGGCTCCATATATCATATCCATATTTAAATGATTTTATATGTATAAATATATAGTTATATATAAAGATATATCTGTGTATGTAACCGCGAAAATTATTGTAATACTGATCTAGTCTTGCTTCGCCTTGGCCTTGCCGAGGGGTGCGCAAAACCTTCACTACCGATGAGGGACGACCCTAATTTGTGCATGGAACGAAAATGAACAAGCCATTTATTTATTTATTTATATTTATTTATTTTTTAATTTACTTACTTACTTACTTACTTGTGGGGCGGAGGGCGGGGTGCGCCCACACTTTTCACAGCATGTATGATCTTGTGCGAGGACGCTGTTGAGCATTGCGGTTCCTCCCGGAGTTCTGCCTGGACAGACCCTGGCTGTGAAGGTCCCAGATGGACGAGAACTTCACGTCGTGGTGCCGAAGGATGCAGGGCAGGAGCCGCTGGAAGCCACTGGAAGCCGCTGGAAATGCGGGATGTGTGCGACCAACCGAACGAAGGGTCCAATGGTGCAAAGTTATGGAGCTATGGAACATGAACGGAAGCAACATATTATGGAAATATAGTGATACAACTGGATAATTACATGACCTATACGACCAAGATACGTAAGTTGTTGGGATTAAGCGGGAGAAGTGGATAAGTGGATAAGTAGGATTTGTGGTGGATATATGATATATGATATATATATATATATCTATATATATATATATATCCACAGCCGAATTTTGGCAACCTTGGAGGGCCCACTTCGTATCAAATTGTCGTAGATTGCTATCAATTGCTGTGCGCTTGGTACCTGATGGCTGTGATGGCTGTGGCTCTACCAAGCAAGAAATGGATGACTTGAGGATGCTTTGATTCATTTAAGATATATATATATATATCATATTATATGATTTTGATTGATTTTGTTATATAATAAGTTACCGAAGAAGGCTAACCTGATCTTCGTGGTTCAGCGACATGTTCTGCAGGAGCTGCAGCTCGAGTTAGATGCTGCCAGTGGCACGCTGGCAGTGCTGGGCGCAGGGTCAGCCCCTGCGACTTCCTCGGGCAGCGACTGGGCGCAGGGTTTGGTGAATAGCCCTGGTTGTGGATGGTGATTTGGTGATCTAGTGATCACAAGATTATCATAAGTCCCATGGGGTTATCCCATGATATCAATGATATCCATTGATATCCCAATATAATCCAATACATAATAATATGTAATTAATTCGAATAGCTAAGCAGATCTAAGTAGTTGCTAAATGGGATGATCCTTCAAGTGGTTGAGCCCCAGACATCATTCACCCAGGATAGAGCAGGTCCTTTTATATAGTAAGCAAATCTCAAAAATCTGGGAGTGGTTTGGTAAGATGAGACTATGTTGTGTTTTCCAACAATGGGGATTTAACCAACCGATACTGTAGGACTTTGGTAGCAACAAAGGGGCTTTGACACTAGTTTAACCATGACCGATGTTATGAATTATGGGGATGCAAATGATGTTACGGAATACTACTTACATATTGTACCTGGTTGGCGGTCGAATATTTGATGTTTTTGATTCTGAAATCCAGGGGTGATCATTCCAGTGACTTGACACAGGTCATTTCCATTGCGAGCACCTTAGACATCCAACATGCGCGGCGACGGCAATGGCCTTTTGTATGGTCAATTGGAATTTCAGGATCCTTTGATATGGAGGTACTGTACCATATAAGGGCATATTTTGGGGGTATATCCCCTTGCATAGGCCTTACATAGGCCTTATATATAGTAGGTACCTCCAATTTAGGTTCCTGAAATGGCCATTGATATGGGGTTACTTCAAATTACTATGGTTCCCAACACTGCTGACACTGCTTCATAAACTTGGCTCAAATCGACCGGTCGACCAAGTTGAGGTGATGATATCTTCCAAATTCACGTTCCTTCCGGCGTTCAACCCGGACAGATGGTGAACATTCAGGCAGGGTTTCTTTTCGGATGCGTTGGGATGACAGGTTTGTTGGTTCAGCGGCTTCAGCGGCATGGCCATTTGAGCCACCCTTTCATGACGCAAGCGATGGGACAATTTCAAATAGCACAAATAGCCACTGTGAAGGTTGTCACACCTGTGAACATACATAATTTTTCTTGAAGCGAACCCCCCCAGTTTTGCCATACATCTCTTTTGTACAATCGAGTGGTAAGCGATGAGACCTTCCCAAATTTCGTTGATGTTCTTTTCGTAAATCTTGAGTTTCCGAGATCGCTCATTTGGAATCACCTTGATGATTGTATGTGTATCCCAACACGGGTTTTTTGAAAATCTACAGGGGGCCTTCTTCATTTTTTCCTCCGATCAATCCAATGAATGACTTTTGCAGCCTTTGCCCCGAGCGAACTTGCTGGGCCCTATTGGGGCAAACCCTCTGGGCCCAACAGAGAAAACACATCCGATGAACGTATGGCCCTGAAATATCCTGCAATGCTCGTGGTGCAGGTTCCAGATGGCAGGCATTTGCCCTTCACGGTGCCAATGGGCAAACAACCAGGAGAAACTTAGGAGTCATAGAAACCCACCCGCCACCCACTAAGCAGCTATCATCCCTTCAATATCCCTTGATGTTGCACTAAGTACCCATAAATATCCAAATACTCCGAGCCCCCAAATGAATAGATGCAATAGGAAACCATGGAAGGGTGTAAATTTGATTTTGGGGGTGGAAGGGGTTACCGGTTAGTCCTGGACTTGACTTTGGCTTGTAGTTTTCCATGCACCTCCTCAATTGATTTCAAGGTACACACGTAGGACATCATGAACTGTGCGGGTTTGTCAGGTTTGTCGCGAAATAGGGTGACCCAATTTGCGCACTTTTCAAGGAGAAAATCATTGGTTTACCATGGTTTGTCCGTCTCTGGACAACAACCCGTACCCAAAAAGGGGTTTAGCCGGCGCATTCTCAGAGGAGACGAGCTTCTGCTCTGCTTGGATACAACTCGAAGTAGGCTCCTCCTTGCACAGAGCTGAGATGAGCAAATAGTTCTCCTGGCTTTTGCGTTTAGGCCTAATTAGTGAACATCACGACTGCCACCTGCTGTTTCATGGAGCAAGTGCACTTGTGTTGTGTCCAAGCTATATGGCTTCTCTCTACATAGCAAGTCTAAGATTGGAGTCAAGTATGATATCAAAGACATGTGCCCATCTCAACAGTATTCCCTAGCCAGATGTGCATTGAGAATAATTAGAGAGATGCTCCCCATTTTGCAATGGATATGACATTACCAATTGCTTCACAGCAGCACGTGGGCTGGTGGGAGCCATTTCCCGCCATCTTTGTACTGCATTGTCAGTAGTAGCACAGCGAATGGGGCCAATGGAGACATTGGAAGTACAGTAAGCCATTCGCCTTTTTGCAGGTAGACGGGTTAGACTGTGCTCAGAGTAAAAGAAACTCGATCGAATTTGCGCTGACATGAGCAAGGTCTGCCGGCATACTTTTTTCTTGCCATGCCAGTTGAGTCCTACTTGCAGTTGAGAAGAGCCTACTTGCAGTTGATAAGAACAATGTTTAACTGTCCTGAGACATCGAGTCAACAATCTTGACATTTGAGTTGGGTGCCGGAGTCTTGACCGCCATTGGCGATATTCAATATTATTCAATTAAGCGATGTATTGTTTGTTTACATATTGATGATATTGGCCATCATGATGATGAGGAGGATGATGATGATATTAATAGGTTTCTTCAGCCACTGCGCATGCAGATCCTGATGTCTGCCCTGGGCTTTGTACCAGACGAAGTCTTGGTCTACATTTTGCAGGCGTGCTTCCAGTGGAGAGCTAGTGGCCACACATGGAGACGGCACCCACACAAGCATGAGGGCTGGATGCCAGAGTAGATACAAATCACTTACATAGGTTTATAGTATAGTGTATATATACGTAGGTATCCGCATGGATTTTGCTTTTAGTTGTCAATCCCACCGTGTTGCCATTGGCATGATGTCTGCCAGATTCTGTTTCCCGAGAAAAATAACATTGTGCTGGTTTCGATTTTGTTTTTCGGTGTGCTTCCCCTTTACTCTGCGTTACTTGCAGTAACACGTTTGTTTGTTTTTTTCTTCTCTCTCCCTCTCATTTTCTTATCGAGTCTGACCCTGGCACTTGTGCGTCGATGACTTGAAAGTCTTAGCGTCTGGGAAGATTGCGAAGTCGTGGCTTTGTATGACCTTGAATCCTTGAAAGGTTGGGCACAATTTACTCAATTTGCAGCTGGTTGGTAGCTTCATTGTGTGTTTTTTGTTTTCAAATTCGTCCATGTCATACTTGGAATTAGATGGAATTAGGAGCCCAAGTGACTCTTACATTCTAGTGGGGGACACCAATAGGATCCAGCGCGCACTTGTCGCTTCCTTTGCTTTGCGTTGTGTTCCAAGGCACATGATGGTCGGGGAGCTGCACGACAAATCGCCAGGAGATGTCGCAAGTTGGTGTGGAGCTCTGAAATTGAGAGTTCGGAGAGTGGTGAATGATGGTGAATGGTGAATGGGAATGCTTCCAGTTAGGCTACATTCTTCGTGTCTATTGGTTGTTATGCCTAGATGACATATATTTTGTATATTAGAGTTGTGTTTTATTTGTAGTGTCGAATCAATAGAATCGTAGATTCCACATGAACAAACTGATAATGATTGCATATTATTGTACCATCCTGGCGTCGACTGCAACCAAGTGAAACATGGCAACAGCTGAAAGGTTTGACTGTTACATATTTCGCGGAGAAGCCTTCCACCATCTTCCACCCCTTCTTGTGGCCAAGAGCTTTACTTTGTGTAAGGTGGATTCCAATTTCAACGTTCGCTACATCCGCCCCCCAGCAGGAAAGGTGATCCCGGCATGTATCATATACAACTGCATCATCTATGCTTGATTAAATTCTGATTTGTTGAATTTGAGTAGCCATAGATCCTCCAGCGACCTGGGGTCGACAACAACGGCGCCAGTTCTTCATTGTGGACTTCGAGGTGAATGACAACTTGGCCAAGGATCTGTATTGCAAGGGGCCACAGTTCTGTATGAGCCAGCTGGGACACAATGGTACAGGTTTACCTGTACACGTGCTACTTTATATACTGTAGTTACTGTAGTATGTAAGATGCACATATTTTATCATATGTTTAACTTTTGCATGTACAGATAGATAGGTAATGATAGATAATTGGATAAGTAGGTAGATATGTTTGAAGGATGTTGGGACATACCAAGTTCTTATGCAAACAGGCGCTGTAGGTCCACAAGAGCTTCTTTTTGGTTACAGTATGAGCACGTGGGAGAGAAGATCTTTGTCCCTTGTCAATGTTCCACTAACAACCCTCCGGGTTGAGTTTGTCAAAATGTTCGGCTCCATGTTTTGAAGTTTTGCATGAGCACCTGTGGGGGAGTATGCCAGACACTCATTCTGAAACCATACAGCAGCTCGAATGAAAGACACCTCAACCATCCTCAACCAATTTCATGCTACCCACAAGTAGTGCAGCAATTGCAGAATCTGGGACCTGCTTCTTCGATCGCTTTGCATGGAATTCAGCTTAATTCGGCTGGTTCGGCCACAGTGCCATGGAAAATCTTGCTGGACCATCGTTTCCCCGTTCCTCATTGCGATTTCAAGTCGTCCTGCACCTGGACAATTGGCTGACTCCCGCTTTAGCTGCGGTTGCGCCCTCACACTTGCTTGGCCTTAGTTTCGAATTTACTGGTGGTCCCCGGGAATAACGACAATTTGATCTGTTGGTGAAATGAATGCGAATGTGAATTGGTTTTTATGGTTTCCAATAGGTCGTTTGCCAAAACATTCTCCATGAAAGCAGATCCTGCAGGTGCTATTTCTGCTATTGGTGAAGCCTTACTTCCATCGCTATCCACCAGGCATTGCGTTGGGTGAATTTCTTCTGATGCTGCTACATCCGCCGGTGCAAGCGCTTCGAAGTTGGTGACTCTCAAGCAGTCTTTGTTCGGTGTCAAAACCCCGGCAAGATTACGATGGGGTGGTCAACTTCCGAACACGGATCCAATATGGCCATATCTACATATCATTACATATCTATCATTGTACTAATGAGATCTAATGAGCCTGGGATCTACCAGGGTCCACCTGTGAAATTATAATTGCACAACTGATCCTCGAGTTTGAGATCTCAACCTACTGCTTTCTGAGCTCTAACGGGTGATCATGCAGACATGCACATCAGGTTTGGGACAGCTGGGAACAAGCAAGAGCGTGCTGCTTTCATGGCAGTTTTTTTGGCCTTAAGCGTATGGACTGTGCTGGTGGTTGGCTATTTCTTCCTCTTGCAGACCTGCGCCATCTACTTAGATGCTTGGCTCAGGGTTTTGGGTCCTGGCCTTGGGATCCAAATTTAGCTTGGCTCATGAACATCATTTTGTGCCCATCAGTGCTTTTGATGCGTATTGCCATGTATTGCCTGTATTTATGTAATTTTTATGTAATTGTTTATTGTTGTTCAGTCTGGAGTTGCTTTTGTGGTTTCTTGGCCCTTGTGACTTTTTGGCTTCTTGATATTCTGGCCTCTTGGCTTGGCTTCTACGGTTCTGTAGCTTATGTGCTAGCTGCTAGAACGATTGTGCAGACAACAAGTGAAGCTTTGGAAAGGATAAAGAAGAAACATAATGTCAAGAAAAGCTCGATCCAACATCCAGCAACAAAAGCAAGAGCAGGTCTTACCTCAAAGTGCTGCAAATACAATTTAGATATTGCTGCACCAAAAGCTACGTTGCCGCTTTGAACCTATACATTTATATACCTTGATGAGTCTGCCTGCAATGTGCTGCAAGTATTGTGCAAGCAACAATGGAAACATTAATCGATAATCGGACATTCAAAAAACATATTTATAAAAAAACAAGGTTGTCAAGAAATGTCAAGAAAGACAAAATGCAATATCAAACAGCAAAAACAGCGAGAAAGCAATAACAACAACAGGACGCATGCTCTGTTTTCTTTTGGAGAGGACGCGCTGCTCCATCATCCCATTGCCCCCCTGCCTGCCACGAAACCTGCACTTTATCCTTGCACCTCCCACATCCTCCCACGAGACTATATTTTAAAGCTACTAGTAGGTTCCTCAGCTACTGTAAACAACACTAGGCTAGAGATTGCAGCAAATAGCTTGCACATGTGAGCAAACAGTATGGAAGCTTGGAGGTTTAAGGATGTGTAAGGTGATGAAACACACACTCAAAAAAAACAATACAAAACAGGGAGCAAAGGTCTTATTTTCCAACGTGCTGCAAATACCAGCCACATGACAAGTTCCACATTCCTCCTGCAAAATGTTGCAAGCATGTTGCAGCAACAACGAGGGATTCAAGCTCGAACATTTCAGAATAAGTGTGCAGCTGAAAGGCTGCAAATATCATGAAACTTGCAGATTTAGGTTCCAAAATGGTGTAACAACCTTGTGAAAGAGATTTCAGCTTAAACATGTTGCAAATATATATTTATAAATGCAAATAATATCGTGTAAAGTCGATACTTTAGCTCCCAAATGTTGCAAACACGCTGCAAAAGAGAGATTAAGTGATTAAAGGTCCAAAGTGTTGCAAATACAATCCAATTGCAGGAGTGATTTCCAAAATGCTGCAAACACCAATATGAAATATGCGATTTGAGTTCCAAAATGCTGGGAGCAAACAAAAATAAACACATTCGAAGAAAAAACGTGACTGTTTTTATCTTCAGCTACCATGAAGGCCTCATAAGGCCTCAACATGCTGTTCTTTTGACCTGCTACAGGAAAGCATTTTGGCTGGTGGCGCGCTGATTCTGGCCATCTTGGAAATTCTGGAGGGTGGTTTGGCCGGCAGTTTGTTTTGCGATGGTTTCTGGGAGTCACTTGGTGCACACAACAGAACTGCCTTGTGCTTGGCATGCATGAAGCATATTGGTTCTCACAATTTTTGTTGGGTTAGTCAACAATCGGTGCTCGCAGCATTTGGAGGTTGCAGGGGGAATCAATTGACAAGACAGCAATTGTTCCATTGCAATCCGTTGCATTCCATTGCAATTGCCCTGAATTTGTCACAGTCTGCCTGTTGAATAACAAGTTTGCATATTGAATATCACGTGTAATCAAACTTGGCAATGGAAAATCCCCATTGTTTTGTAGGAAACTATTGGCCCCGCGAAAATCATACTTAGAAGCCATGGGTTTTCCATTGCCCCTTCGTGTTTTTCTAAGGTTTGGCATGGTCTTCATCGGCTTTGTGGCTTCAGCAAGCAGCGTGGCCCTTCTGGTGAATTTGTGGCCGGAAAATGCCCTGCTCTTCGGGTGAAAAATGGAAACGATGCGGCATGCTGCTATGGTTTCAAATGGGCTGACGTAAAAACTGCGGGATGAATCAGGACGCTGATGCTGACACAGACTGATGTTGAAGTCTTAAATACTGAGCAGTTGAACACAAATTAGGCTGTAAACGTGTAATTATAGTTTCACGATGTTTCACGCATGTTTGCAAAAATAGGCGGAGAATGCCGACTGGCAGACGGACATGCAATGATGTGGCGCATACATGCCATAGGTCGCTTCTTTTATCTACTTTTGGCATTTCTGGTTTGGACAAGCGAGATGTGTTGATGCAGTGCCATTTGCACATGCAGTAGGCAATTTCAGTACTGGAAGAATTGGAAGAAAGCCGTCTACATTTCCAGATCGCCACCCTTTGGTAATACAACATGTCACAATGGAAAATGCCCTTAACAACGTCTTTGTATTAACGGGTTTACAGACAAGAATCCTTGATTGGTGTTCATTTATCAGTTATTTGGTTGATGGTTTTCAAATGTTTTAACCTTTGCTATGATTCAATCATATCTTGAATGATGCTTATATGACGGTGGTGGTGATGGTGTCCGCGAAGGCGAATCATGCGAATAGATGGGCTGAAACATGTTGAAACCATGAACCATTTGCAGTTTCCTATATCTTTTCCTAGCCACACTTTTCTGACCCGAGGCGCTCAAGTGGGCGAGCGCGAGCTATCCGACGGAAGTAGCATGACCGGCTTAGTCCCAGCCTCAAAGTCGTTGCCGCTACAGTACAGAAATGCGAAGAGATACGGAAAAGCCATGGTTTCCCAAGGAATCCAAAGGAAACTGATCTACCAATGGTGGGTGTTCCATATGTTAATGACTGGGGGGGCGGATCAGGGAAAGATCGCTGCTCGTGACGCAACACAAATTAAACCTGAACTTTTTTTGTAGGATATCTAAAGATGGCCAAAACAGCTCTGCGGTGTTTCTACGGCTTCGATGCAGGTGACATTTCTTCATTGGCTCCCAGCCTTTTGCCGAAGCAGGGCTGCGACCTCTCAAAATATCAGCTGCTGTCAATCGACAAAGTAGCCGCGTGTTTTCATCAAATCAATGTAGCCGTCTGGGCTGTTGATGGCCCAGTTTCGCCTGGTGTGTTGCAAGCATCAAGTGGTAAAATACGAACCCACCAACTTTCAGTGGCCTTTCTCCTTTTACATCGTTTACACTGATGGCGCTGGGAACATGAGTTACTTCTGCTGCGGAGGTTCAGCGGGACGTTTGCCACAGTTTGCAGGACATGTCACGACTTGCAGTCAACAAAGCTGATGCTTGTGGAGAGATGGAACGGGGAAGAAACCCAAGATTGCCAGATTTGAAGACTATTTCTGGAAGTGAGTTGGAGCCCTTCAGGCATGGTGTTTGTAGATTCCTTTGTGGGGTTTGGGTTCGGGAGTGACATCCTTGCAGCAACCAGATGCTCAATGATTTTTAATAATATGTTCTTATCAGGGGTATGTCCAACAATGGGGGATATCCTGGCATATCTAACCATTGGCCTAGCTGTACACACCGAAGGCGTTATTGTCACCCTACGTGCATTTTCTTGGTCACCCCATTTCCAGGAGAGTGATGGCTGTGCACTGTGGAAACTGATCAGCAAGGTGCGAAGGTCAATTCGGGTGAGACATTGCAAGATATTGCAACAATAAGCCTTTTCGTATTGGCTTGGCCGGCTTAGCCAGGCAGCAATACAAGCAATACAATATATAAAAAGAGACAGCTTGACACGGAGAGCCTTGTGAGGTGCGGGAGCATCGGGAAACGGCAATTCCAATGGAGGCATCCATGAACTCAAAGGCAACCGGCTGCTGACTTGAAAGGGTTGCGGAGCCTTCCATTTTTTAATTCAAAATTGCAAAAAAAAAACTTAACATGGTTGGTGTCAAAATCGATCAAAATCCTTGTGAAAATCGAACTATAATATTGCTAAAAGTTGGATTTGGAAGCCTTCCCTCAATATTACATGTATATATAAAATCTTAATTTAAACATATATAATATTCAACTTCAAAATCGATAAAAATCCTTTAGAATTAATTCGAAGTATTGCCAAAAAATGGATTTCGAAGCCATTCCCCTAATATAAACTGGGGATTGTTGCAATATGCAATGGGAAGCCCTATTGATACCAGCGCAACGGAATGACATTTTGACATTTTGATACATTTTGGGGTTTCAAAACTGCTCCTGTGTGGTCACACAGACATTGATTAAGTGACTGCAGATACAACCCAAAGGGAGTAGCTATGGTATGCTATGGCTGGTGGATGCTGGCGGTATGGCTGGTGTTTTCGACGGTACCCAAGCGGCCCTGGGAGCCACTGCCGCTCGGGCAGGTGGGACACCTCACTGCCGCTTGGACCGACTCGGATCAGGGGCTCCGGAAATTTCATACGGAAGTGCTCCGGAAAAAAACGAAGGCTTGTAGGAGGTATGAGGGTAATTACATGATATTACATGTAATTACCAGGAGTGTAGTGTTTTGATTGGTACATCCAATTAGTGTTTTGATTCGCAATTCATGTTTTGCATATTTTTTTGCATGTTCCATTTCACAAATGGGATGATGACCCAATTCACTCATATTTTGCAAGGGGTGGCTCAGCAAACAACATCAAACAACCAAGTGTCGTCATTGGTGTCAGAACCGTTGCACCTGGTGTTAAAACCACAATAGCTGGAAAAGCAATGGCTGTTCAGCTCATCTCATTCGAATTGGTTTATCTTCATCTGCAAAATCCACGTGTGCCAAGGTTGGGCCCCTTTTTTGCCAAAGGTATCACGCCGTTGACATAATTCGTAAGTAGTGAAAACGTGTCCTGGGAAGATCATGCCAGAATCCTATGGAATCTAAGTTGCTGTGTTCCAAGTTGTGATTCCAATGCTACAACTGTTGGTGCCTGCTCTCACCAAATCAGCGACTGAAGATCACACACACATCTATATATATATATTATATACCAAAAATGTCATGGCAGTGCGGGATGAGCAAGTCGCCAAAATGGTATGAAAGAGGGCAGAGCATGGCAGAGCCACTTAACGCAAGAAACCCATAAAGTGTGAGAGGCATGGTCCAGTGTCAAAGAATTCAGCACAGCATCGCTGTGACCACTCAATTTGATTACAATATGTATGTACATATAAATAAATATATGTGTGTGTGTAACATCTGAATAGATGTAAAACTTCTTCTCTCTCTTTTTCTTCCTTTGTCCTCTCCCTTTCTAATTCTAAATTAAAATTTAATGCAGGGGGCCACGGCTCCATTCATCAGTCCGTGGCCAACGAAGCTACTGATGTTTGGAGAGGATATGCAGTCTGATCAACTGCACGTACCTGCTTTTTTCGGACATAGCAAGGGGCCAAGCTTAGAACCCCAACCACAATATTATACAATTTGCTGCACTGTTGTCGCAATCTGGAATTATTTTTGGTCATTTACTATTGGTTCATTTGCATCAGATCTAGGCTGGTTTGCATGTTTCAGGATTCAGTTCCTGCCGGATCATATAATGATCCATTCTTGTCTAGTGTGATTTCCATGGTGGCTCCGACATGGTGCCATGGAGCCATTTGAGGCAACCCTCTTCAGGGTGAGTGTCGACAGTCTTGAATTCTGAATTCACACATTTTAATTTGGTAATTCATCTAAGTAAATCGCAACAGTTGGCCTTGCGGTTTTGCACCTTTGAAGACGTCCCGCGGCTCCTGTGGTCCCAGGGATCCTAGCGTTTTGCACTCTGTCAAGTGAAGCCAATCCGAACTGCCAGAAACCTCCGTTTTTGCAGCAACCTTTACAGTCACATTACAAGAGACAGAACGCAGGCAGGTACACGATCTTTAGGTGCGGTTTTCTTTCTTTTGATGGTCTCTGGTGAGGTGAAACATGTTGTGCACCTAATTCGTTGGAATTTGATAGCCGTTTGATGCCATTGGGGCACGACTTGACCACGGGCCTGTTGTGGCACAATCGCACGAACAGTAGGTCTAGGAGCTGAGTCCTGTTTGTTAACTACTTGTTTTGGTTTTGTTTGTCATCAACTAGTCCCCCATTTGGTCCCTAATTCTCCCCGCGTGCCTCTCCGTAATGTGTCGTGGGGTTTAGGTGTGTGCGCTGTTTTTGTCAGGTCCGTTTCGCCGTGTAGGTTGGTTCTGGAGGTCCGTCTGTTCCCCTCCCCCCCCTGCGCTGTTTTTGGCCGTTTGCCCTTCGTGTGTCCGCTTTTTTCTTCCTCTTGCCTTTCAGGGTTGACCCGGCTCCGGCCGGGTGTGTGTGTGTAACATCTGAATAGATGTAAAACTTCTCTCTCTTTTTCTTCCTTTGTCCTCTCCCTTTCTAATTCTAAATTAAAATTTAATGCAGGGGGCCACGGCTCCATTCATCAGTCCGTGGCCAACGAAGCTACTGATGTTTGGAGAGGATATGCAGTCTGATCAACTGCACGTACCTGCTTTTTTCGGACATAGCAAGGGGCCAAGCTTAGAACCCCAACCACAATATTATACAATTTGCTGCACTGTTGTCGCAATCTGGAATTATTTTTGGTCATTTACTATTGGTTCATTTGCATCAGATCTAGGCTGGTTTGCATGTTTCAGGATTCAGTTCCTGCCGGATCATATAATGATCCATTCTTGTCTAGTGTGTGTGTGTTGTGTGCGCGTGGAAGAAAACTTGAATTTTCAAAGTTGAAAGTTGGCGTTTGCCCAATTACGCCCCTTACCCGGCAAATTCTGCCCCTTAAAAGCGTAGGATTTTAGCGAAAATGGCAGCTTGTCATGCATTGTCATGCCATAGCTTATATGCCAGTAGGATCCAATAGGGTAATTGGATGATCCCAGGCTTTGTAGTCAGGAACTCATCATGCCATAAACAGATTGTGCGTTCTATCCTTTGGTTGTAAGCCTCTCAGGCATATCATACCATGATACACGGTCCATGAAAAACCCGCGCGAAGAGAGTATGTGATTTATGATGCGTACTCTGGGCAGCTGCTTTATGCAGTAGCAGCGTACGAGCACAACTTTACCTCGCCAGACAGATTTTGTGATTAGTTGTTCAGTTTTGCCCTTGAAACATTTTCAGGCTCTAACAGGAAACTGACGTCAAACCTGCCAGAAGATAGATACTTGGAGTGATAAAATGCTTCAAAAGTCAAAGAACGCCCCTTAGATTCAAAGGCAGAATTTGAGGACAGCAAATGAGACCTTCAGGAACATCCAAGTAGATTCAAATTCAGTCTCTGGTCAACTAAACTGATTTTTGCAATGTCTTTTGACGCCATGGGTATTTACCCATCCCTGGTATCAGATGTCAGGTGTCTCCATGCCGCTCGTCGCGTTAGGTCAGTGAAGGACAAGGTGGTGATGCTCGACAGGTGGGGTTGGAATTTGATGGTCATTATATATAGTAACTGGGCAGTTACTGATTGTCGTTCATTGTGGGACTGTGCATGGATTTTTTTTGATGGTTATTTGATAGATGTTATTAGATATTATGTGGTATATGTTTCTCAATTCAATGAAACTATGATTGCAAGATTCATAATGTGTCCTTGCCGTTAGTCATTTTGTTCACATTTGCTGGTCTGAATTTGGGATATTTGAGCTGACTTTACATTGGCCATTCCGGGTCTGCGGCATTGAAGCTATCGGCTCTAGCTATCCCCGAAGCTGATTCAGCCAGGTGAAGGCCGGGGAGAGATGGGTGTTGCAATGGCAGGGGCATGGAATGGGCACCATGACAGGAGCACTCATATAGATTCAATTAGATTAGGTTAGATTAGATTAGGTTAGATCATTAGATTAGATCGATAAGATAAGATTAGATTAGATTGGTTGGATTAGATAGATAGATCTGCAATATACTTTACATCATTATGCATCAGGTGTCTTATTTTGAGTCACCTTTGGTAGTATGTTTTTTGATCTCAGTGAAGCATTCCTTTCCAATGCAGGGAATGACCATGAAGCCCCTCAGTTCTGCTGCAAGAGCATGGCAGTTTGACGCAGTTTCTTCTGTAGGCGATGGGACAGCCTGGCTTTCAGGGCTGCTTTCCAAGGCCAAGGCAAGGAGATTGCTTTGTCAGCTTGTGGTCACCATGATTTCGCGCATTGTCTGGGGGTTCGCCCGTATTTTTTGCCACAAATGATCCTTTGGATTGTATTGTGGGTATTAAGTAATGTGCTGTGCATGTAGCTACTCATTGATTCAAGCAGTTCATTATCTTGCTAGTTCAAAAAATGTATATTAAGTATCATTGATTTTCCACCCCTGCTGCTTGCGATGATAGGGCTCCAATCCCCAACCAGCTTGGATCTTGCCCCAGCCATTTGTCGGCCCAAAGGCGCACAGGTAGGCCATCAAAGACCGGGCCGCGGCAACGTCAGCCATGTGGGGCAAAGGTGGCGATTGGAGCTGGGGCAAGGGTACCTCGAGCGGCAAGGGCGCTGGAGGGAGCTATGGAAAAGCGGCCACACCCAGCGCACCAGCCGCTACGCCGTATAGTAAGCCAGAGCTCAAACCAGGAGATTGGATTTGCCCCACCTGTGGAGACCACCAGTTGCTTGGCAAGGCACAAGATGTCCAGAGATGTAGGAGTCCGTTGTCCGTGTCCTTCTCTTTTCAGGTCATGTGGAGGTGAAGCACTGGTTTGACGAATGACTGATTTCAGTCCGTGGTGATGGAACGATGGTCATGGACCTTCAAAGATCTCCCAAAAGACATTTCCAACAACACCTGCAATGCACTCACCCGAAAGAAGCATGAAAGGCATTGAAAGGCGACATTGCAGTTTCCAAGTCCATTTTGGATCATTTTGGGGATTCCATCTCAAAGGTTTTGCAATTGATCTGGAGTCTCTGGAAACGGATTCTTGGGTCTTTCCAACTATTTTTTATATGGTCGAATTGAATTTTATTATAGGTACCTTATTAAGAGGTAATCAGTTGGTTGATTAGGTATTATCTTACCATTGGTTATTTAATAATTATATCTATTTGTTTTCACTCTTTAGGCAACCAATTGGTTGATTAAATTGGTATCATCCCAGTATCGATTACGATTATTTGTTCTATTCATATTCTTTGGATAAACAGGGGTCCACGACCATTTCCCTCAAAGGGTACCCGACCAATTGCTGGATTCAAATGGAATGGGTATCATCCCTTTATAGGGTATGTACTATATCTATTTGTTTTCAACCACACTCATTTTTCTTTTAGGGTGGTGTCCCCATGTACCTGTGGTAGAAAGTCATCAATATGTTCCCTGATGATCACTCTTTTATTAAAATACAAAATTTCCCATGTTTTCCACGTCTACATCATATATCCTTTAAATGCAGTGTCCAGTTTTGGATTTTGCCGAACTCAGGGAGCAGAAATCTGCACCTTGACTTAGGCATTCACCTTGGATTTTTTAACGATATCCTAGGTGCTTGGTGGGGTATCACCTAAGTCAAGGTGCAGGTTTCATACCCTTAAGTTGGAAGGTTCTAGAATGCCCCCCCCCCTTAGGGATAAACACGGAGGGTTCTAGAATGAACAAAAATTATTGTAGCACCTCCGGTCGCGTAAGCATTGTAGAACCTTGGAAGCTTGTATAATACATTCATTACAATACATTTTATAAAATATGTTAATACCATATATGGTGCAGGTTTTGTGCCGGTGGTGGAAAGCCAGTTGCCAGTTTGATCCTCCTGGCTGTTAAACATGCTTGGCATTCCCATGCAGGACACCATATGTATGATTTTGGGATGTTTTTGCATAATTTTGTGGGAAAAGAATTGACAAGATATCTTTGAGGAATTGCACTTTTGAACCCTCTTACCCCTTTCCAACCTCTAACACAAAACAAGGTTCTCAAATGGTTTACACCCAAGTTGGAAGTCACAAGCCCCTGAACCCTGATGGAAACCATTTCAGAACATCCAGGCTGAGGGACACCCTTGATTGGATCCAAAGTTGAAAATGGATGAAAATGAAACACATGCATGATAAAATCATCTACCATCTTTCCAGAACAACAATTTTGAATCATTGTGGACATTCTTTCCAAAGAATGTTTGATGAGACTTGCATCTGATCTCACAACAGCTACCCCAAGCCCTTCCCATTCCTGAGCCCCATCAAATCCCAGCCCCAAGCAGCCTTTGGAATGCCCTTCCTCAGAAGGCATCGGTTCTTTGGATTCTTTCTTCCCTGGCAGAGGTGTGTGTTCTCAAATGGTTTAATTACACCCAAGATGGAGGTCACAAACCCCCGAAAACCCTGATGGAAACCATTTCAGAACATCCAGGCTGAGGGACACCCTTGATTGGCTTCAAATTGAAAATGGCACCAAGGTGGAAACATTTGCCAAACAAATACCTTTTTCATCATTGTTCATCTTTTTTCTGGGTGGCTGCTTTGTTTGCATGTTCAGGAATGGTGAATTAATGGTGGAATGTAGCTCGTGAAAGTCACTGGTCAATCAAACATAATCAAACCACACCAGAACCCAGACCCTAACTAGGCGCGCAGATGGCCTTTAAGCTCTGTCTTCTTCAGTGCCACAGCCTTCACACCTACCCAACTTCTGAACAGAATTGAACAGAAGGATCCAACTCCATGTCCATGGATTACCTCACGCCCCTTTTTTGATTTGCTTGTGACTATTTTTTTGCGACTCATTTTTTTGTGATTCAAACCATCTCCAGTTTTTTGTTCATGGTTTCCCTAAAATATCCTAAAATGTTTATGCCTTTCCCCGCCTTGCTTGGCCAACTCCAACTGACGCTTGTTGCGCAGCGGTTTCGCCCAACCGCATCGATCTGACTTAGCCGGGATCACACTCAAGGAATGCCTCCTGGAAGATAGAACCCATTTTAGAACCCAAAAACGGAATAGCTGCCAAAAAAATTGAGTTCTAAGACCCCCCTTGTAGATTCCATTTTAGAAACCATTTTTGGGTTCTAAAATGGTCCCTAAGGGGGTTTGAAGCAACTTGAGAGGATCAGATTTCTGCACCTAGACTTCGGTAATACAGAGGTTGTAGCCTGGGATTTAGTTTTTTTTGCAGATATCAGGGTGCAGAAATTTGCATGTGGCCTTAGGAAACAGCCTTACCTATTATATTCTACCATGATTTTTCCCGCAATGGACTCGGGGTCCTTCATTTTGAGATTTAGGCATAACAATATGTTTTATTTTTTATTTAAGTATTCATCCAAAAAAACATATCTGAATTACGATCGAATTGGTGATCGTTTGTTCTGACTGGTATTTCCACGATTACAGTAGAAGGGTAAATGGATGGAGTGGCAAATTGTTTATCCCCTTCTTGGCTTGACAATCGAATGGATAAGAATTGATAACGTTGAAACATCCAAGGGACACTATCCAAATACGATTGTTCCTTTGGGATAAATTTCACTAGTATAGACCAAGGCCACCTACCTTGATAGATAAGATAGATAAAGAAATACATGTTGGGAATTATTTATCACACAATCAGGGGTAGAACTAAGTTACCAAGGACCCCAGAATCAAATTCCAAAGGCCCCTTATCGGCTGCAAAACCTTCTCAGTTGTGTGGGTGTTAAAATTGGTCAGAGGACCCCAAAAGTTAAGCCCCAATTATTCGGGAATGACCTCAAACGGCGCGGGCACCGCGGGCACCGATGTTCCAGGTTTGCCCGAAATTGGTATTGCAAGATGTGCGCCCGAAGTGGCGGTGAAGCCGGCGATGCCTGGATTGTCAACTAGCATTTTTTCTGCCCATATTTTGCCCGGATTTAGGTTCATTTTGACTTTTCACGCTCGTTAGTTTGAACTGAAAACTGCGGACACAAAGATCTAAATTATCCTCGCGAGTCATTGGGGTGAGAAAAACGAGAAAACGCTAGCTTTCACTTTGGTGCTGGAATATTGGGTTTGGATTCCAAAAGGTTGGTTTAACATTTTATTTGACACATGGGTTTGGTCTTCCAATAGACCAATCATCAGCTTGAGTACCAAGGGATATGAGGATCCGGGTGTGGGTATGGAAGATATGGCCGCCATGATGGCGATGATGATGATGATGGGCGGAGCAGGTGGATATGGAAAAGGCAGTAGCAAAGGGGTCTTTGGCGATACCAAGTTCCTTGGCAAAGTAAGTAGGGATGGGATTACTTCGTGCGAATTTCCGTAGGCTGTGTCAAACTATGCTATACTATATAACTAGTCTTACGAATATTACACACGGATGCAAGGGGTGCCTACCCAACAAGCCTTGAAAGTTGAAACGTCTTTGGCTCAAAGCATGTGGCATCTTGACTGTGACGAGGCAGATGGTGCAAGTTAGCGGACTACAGGGCAAAGTAGCCTGGCAAGATCTTAAAGATCACATGAAGCAGGCTGGCCGGGTTTCTCAGCTGCATATATATAAGTAGTGAAGCAGGATGGCGGGTTGCAGTTGCCCAAACTCAGCCCGAAGTAGAGGATACTGACAACCAGTGGCGTGGATCCAAGAAACGTGAAGAACTAGCAGCTAGCAGCAGCTTTAAACCTTTCTGTGTCAAACCGCAGCCATCCCATGCGCCTAGGTCCCTCCAATCGCGCCGTTTTGGTTTCTTTGAGTTGTTGCCCCACCTTTGTGGCACTGTTCTTTTGAGATGCATCCCAGCAGGAAAATGATGAAACATGATGAAACTCGCCAACTATATCATCTATAAATATCTATAATTATTCAACTACCACAACTACAATAGGCAAATTGATTGTCAAAACATGTGTGACACTGAGGTTGAGTACTGCTCAATTCTCACCGAGGACTGTCTGGATTTCCAGCCTTGAACTGCAGCGTCATACACTTGTTTTGCAGGGAGTGCACTTGGGCAAACTGTTCGTACGTATACAATGGATGTTGTTGAGATTTTCTCTGGTTCTGAGTTGGATCTCTCAAGTAGTGTCAGCATGTGTCAGCAACGCCACTCGTTTCATCCTTGACAACTACAAGGTTGGGGATGGTTGAGGCTTAAAGTTCACGCTCACTGAATCTCATGCCATCGCGACCTTTCTGACTGAGAGGACGGAACGGAATGGGGCAAGGCCAAGAATCAGGCATGCGTACGTTTCGCCAGTGCCTTGCCAGCTATGGTAGCTATTTATAATATATATTTTAATTACACATATAGTTCTTTGTTCAACATGTTTAAACCCAATCTCTTGTTTGGTATGATGCCCCCAACCGCCCGACATTGAACATATCCTTGGGATAGGTACCAACCACTGTGAAATGGATTGTCGGTGCTGCTGGGGGAAGCTTCAATATCATTCTGACGCAGTGATGATAGGTGAACAGAGAGTGCTGCGTCCTCATGGGACGGCTGCAGACAGTCAACCCCAAGAGAGAGAGAGAGAGAGAGAGAGAGCGAGCGATTCAGTAGCTGCACCAATTTTTCGGGCCGGCCTCAAAAATGAAGCCCACCCATTCTGCTGAGGTTTAGCAGGAACAAAAAACCCAACCGGTGAGTTTCGTACGGCTTCCTTCCTATGTCTACCATTACAGGCTCCAACCTTTGCCGTCTCCAAACCTTGGATGCTGAGATATGCTCAGGTCCGCAAGAAGCAGCAGCAGCCGTCCAGCTTATGAATGGAACCCCTTTCAAGGACATCGTGCTCCAGGCGTCGATATGCCAGAGACCGCCCGGCAACATTGCTCATGAAAGGAAGAGGTTGGCAAAAATACCCAGTGCAGGAAGACATGTTGTTTATTCGTGTTTCATGGTTCAGCATTTTTAGACGTTGAAGCCTGTTAGTTGGAGCCATTTTGAGATGTGTAATTCCAATCCCTTTCCAAAGAAAACAATTTTGGGTGGTCAGTGGCACCTTCCGGTGTCAGGTTGAACCTTGGCCTCCTGGAAACTTGGCTGCAGGAATGCTGTGCCAGCGTTCCAATATCGACCATTCTGGTAGCTTTTAAGGGTGCGTTTATGGCATGTTCCTCGCCTTTCCCTGGCCTTGCCTAGGAAAGCCGGCAGCATAAGCAGCTGGGAGCCGTTGACATGAAACGACCCCTGGGATCTGCTGGGATGCCCCATGATGATTTTGCATGGCAGACGGATGCAGACGGTAGAGGATTAAGTGCGCGACTTGTAGCAGAGAGTGGCAAAAGAAACCCGCCGCCTCCGGTGCAAGTATGTTTTTTTTGTTTACCACACCGGCAACCTTAGTTTCTTCAGGAGAATGCTATTTTTCATGTTCTTTTCTTGGCCTATAAGTTATATAATTACACGTCCTAAAGTTGATGTCAATTTGAAGGCGCATTTGCGTCATTTGGCTTCTGTTTCCACAATTCTGCCCCAGCCGTTTGCCTTAAAACATCATCAGTGAGCATGACACCCTCGTGGTGTCAGATTCAGCTGGCAGGCCACTTTTGCAGACCTGCCTGCTGAGGCAATGAGGCCCACAAGGATAATCACTGCACTGCCCTGAAACTGAACGGAGGAACTTATCAAATTGGTTACGTTCTTTTTTTTTGTGGTGTGTTTGCTTGCAAACTCAACATGTTTCAACAACCTATTTGCGATTCTGCTGGCCTTCGAGTGTCAGCATTTGTGAGATTCCGTTTCACATTGCTGCTTTTTCCGCCACTTGGAGAGTGGACGTGAAGTGCCAAGGCAGCTGTGTGTGCGTGGGGGAGACGTGCTGACAACTTTTAGCATAATGGATTAAAAATGATGGAAAAAAACAATATTTTCAAAGTGCCCCTGTTTCTTCACCGAACTTAGGTTTCTTCTTATCAATTCAGAACTTTGACAATCGAATCAATTCGACATCAATATTTAGTTGGAGCAGGCACTCAGCAGAGGCTGCACTGGCACAGCTGACCTTTTTCACAAGTTGCTGACCTGGGTGCTTGATGCAAAACTTGAGAAGTTTGTACCAGCCATGTCAGTCATCGACCATGTATTGACCATGTATGGCAACCAGGGCTGCCGTTTCGTGCTCTTTTCAGGTCATTGGTCGGCTTTCGACCTCGGAGACGCAGATGCTCCTGAGCGTTTGGATCCCCGGGATATTGCGGGGATCCACTGAGACTTCAGAGATCACCAATGGACAAAGCTGAGACTTGGATCTCGAAGGGGTTCCTCAAGTTGAGACGTTTCCGTGCATACCTGAGCAATCCCGAATAGCTGACTTATTTTTTATTTCCATACGTAGTAAATCGATGTAAATCATCTTCTTGGATTGAAGCAAGGCTGTGGAGAATTGTTGAAGCTGTCCACCCATCAGTGGCACGTCTTGGTTGTGTAGGTTGTAAAAAGAGTTTCCCAGCTCAGAGGGCTCAGTCCAGAACAAGTTTGCCACTTACCTTAATCAATCTATTGCAAACATTCCAGGAATGTTGATTCAGTGCTGGCACGAGTCTGTCCGAAAATAAGGTGCTTCCATTTCCCCCATAACGGCGCAAATACATGCAAACACTATTTTTTTTCATAATGTTAATTTCCTCATGAACATGTGCAATTTCTTTGGGCCCATATCCGGTTTCCAGATGAAGGCTGTGGTTTGTGCGGGACGCAGGTATTGGACTATCGCCGTAACAGCCATGCCCAGCCGCTAGCAGCAGCAGCGTGACATCAGGTGCCCACAGACGGAATGGCCAGTTGTCTGATCTGCATTGCCACAGCTGTGAAGAAACCAAATGCCGTTTATGCCGATTTTGCCTACACGACAGGCACATTTGTCCTGGCTGTATGGACGCAATTATCTGTAACTAGTGGCGCGCCAACTGCGCACCCAATCTGTGCGAAGCCTATCCTGTCAAAGGGGTATTTGACTAGATGCATGCATAGAGGCATGTAGTACCCAAAACTTGATGCTTTGATTTTCAAGGGTCGGTTTGTAGCTTCTTTGGTTTGCTTTGTTCGATGCAGGCGTTGGCTCCATACTCAACTGCACGGGGTCAGGCAGGCCAATCCCTCCACAATCAACATCGGGGTCTCTGCTTACCATGTTGGTTGATCTTTCTCGTGGACATGTATTGACATATATCATTATAGTTTACTATATATTATTATATCATGTATATCATATTTATAAAAATATTGGCTACTGATTAGTGTAGCGGGCCTCTCCCCCCCTCAACAATTTTAGTCTACTCAATAACTCGGCATTTTCTGCGCACCCCCCTCAACAATTTTTAGGATAGTCAACTGAAGTAAGGATTTCAATTTACATCAAATTACTTTCAATTGATTTTCCTTTTAAACCTCAAAACATCTCTTGATAAGAAAGGATTTCAATTGAATTCAATTTACTTTCAGTTGATTTTCAATTGATGTTCAATTGATTTCAATTTACTTTTACAATTGATTTCAATTTGCGTTCAAATTGATTTTCAATTGATTTCAATTGAGTTTCACTTGATTTCAATTGGTTTCAATTGAATTTTTAATTCAATTCATTTGAATCTATGTTCGCTTGATTTTCAACTGATTTTATATAATGTACTTTCAATTGATGTTCATTTGATTTCAATTGATCAACATGTTGAACAGGAATTCGCTTTCACTGAAACTCAAAGCCATTAAAATGAAACCGTATAAAAACCACATTGCATTATGTTGCATTCACATGCATGTTCGCACACCGGTGCTGATGCGAGGATGCAGGGCGGATCCCCGCAGAGGACATCAGGCTGGACTTTCAGGAAGTTGTGCCTGCACCCTCCCCCCTGCCATTGGCCACCCAGCGCTCACGGCCAGAGCCGGTGCCCCACTGCTTGCGATGGGGCACCCGGGATTCTGTTCTGCGCGGCAGCCAACGGCTTGGCGCTGCCTTAGTCGCAGCAGAACAGAAGCCCGAAGCGCCACTCGAAGGTTTTTCCTTCCACACCAACACCCTGTCCGACCTCTGGGGGACTTTGGGCGACAAGGAATGCCACGTCATCCGAGATGGCAAGGCATTTGTCGGCAAGGCACTTGGGGCATTCTTGGGGTTACTTGGGAATCACATGGCGCTGAGTCACAAATCCAGCCATCAAAACATGTTTGATCTATTTCCAAAGAAAGGTTCTAAAATAATCCGGGTTCTCCTCGGCTTGTCCATGGTCTTGGACTTGTGCTCAGTTTTGTTCGGCAATGCATGCTTGCGTGATTCCTCAGCTGCTTGGTGAACTCAAGCCCATAGGGAGCCTATCTGCCTCTCAACTCAGCTGCAACTCAGCGGGCCTGACTCAGCCCCAAATGGCCTTGGTGGACTATGAGAGGCCCTCACGTGCTCAATCTACTGAGGCCCTCAGATTTTCTTTCAGTGGAGGATCTATTCGGCCCTGGCCCAGATCCTGAGGAGATCATGCTTTACCCAAGGTAACCCGGTGTTCAGTGTCCTGAGTGCAATTCCAAGGTGGAACCCAACAGGATCCCATTTCAGAATGGGTGCCTCTTCTGCAAGGACATGGGTTTGAACATGTGTGCATGCATTTGCTCTTTGTGTTTCTTAGCATGGGTGCGTGGTTTGAAATTGATTAGTCTAGTTATTTATTTGTTTCATGGCTTGATTCATTAATTAACTACTAAGTTTCAATATCTGTTTGATAAGTTTTTCACACCCCTTGCAACCCTGCAGGAAGTCAATGGATGGTCTAAGAGGACCATTGCTCAGTATTACCAGATGGTTCTCAACCTCTGCCCACTACCCTGGCAGAAGTTTGTCTCAGATGATTATTGTGCTCAGTTCAGGCACAAACTGCCACCACCTGAGCCTGCTGAGCCTCCTCAAGCTGCTGGGCCTTCTCAGCTTCCTCAGCTGTTCAAGTCACCTCCTGTAGCCAAGGCTAAGCCACAAGCTCAGGCCAGAACCTCTGAGGGGTACAGATCCCAATATGACGTGATTGATCCCGGGCTTACTATGACTCAGGTCATCAAGTTGGTGAAGGAGGCTGAAGATCTCAGTGAGGTGGACTGCCTTGAGCACATCCACAAGGACATCATTCAGAAGCTTGAGGCTCTGAAGCATGGCATGGATGTTCAGGAGGTGACCTTGACCAGGCTCTTCAGCATGCTAAGATGACAATGAAAGGCTCGGACCGGGCAACGGTGGGAGGGCTATAGACACACAGACCAGACCACGGCCAGGCGATTCCTTTTCTCGACCAGTGAGTACCAAAAGCTGGTCGAGAAAGACCGGCAGCAGACAGAAGCCGCGGAAGCGGCCGCTACAAAGAAAAAGCTAGAAGACGAGAAGAAGGAGAGGAGGAAAGAGAAGGCCGCTGCGAGACAGGAGCGCGCGCAGCGGAAAAGGGAACGAGAGAAGGCTGAAAAGGCGGCGCGGAAGCAGCGACGCCGCGACCGACATAAGAAGGCTCGAGGGGCAACTGATGGAGAACTGCGTTGCCCTCACACAGTTCAGTCCATGGCGCAACGCACCTCGCCGTAGGCCGTGAAAGCGGCAAAGGTGAAGAATCGCCGGGAGAAGCGCCAGCGAGTGCGCGAGGCCGGGTTCGGGCGCTGCACCGTGCATGTATCATTCCCAATTGAGACCCTCGCCCTGTGCAGGGACCGCGCGACACAGAGGAGTACAAGAAATGGCGCACCCAGCAAGACAAGCGCAACCAGACGAGACGCGAACAGCGCCTGGAAAGGCGTCGACGCCTCAGCTGAGTAGACGTCGACTGTCCAACGGTAGCATTCCTGATCTTTCTCAGGCCAGAAGAACGGCGACAAACGCACCCGAGCCCACCGATAGGCCCTCCAGTGCCGGGCCCTGTTCGCTGACGTCCCGGACATCGAGGACGTCCCGAACCCGAGGGCCCTGCCAAGGGCGGCGGCACCACAAATGCTGGTGGTCCCGCTGAGACCGGCGGGCCACCTCATTCAGGCGCGCCGCACGGGGTGATTTGCTGTTGCATGCAACGTCGGGAAATACGGAAAACAGAGTAGTTCGTAAATCCCTTAGAAACAGGGGTTGACCCCACACACACACACACCCACACGCACACACACACACCCACACATACATATAGTAATATATATATATAGGTATAGAAGGAACAAAAGCGGACAGAGGAAACCGTACATAGATCTCCATACGGATAAAACAGCCCCCCAAAGCATACGGCATACGGAGTAACTTACTCACAGCGAAACGAGCAACTCCTCTTAGCTCAGCTGCAGCTGGAATTCAGGGAGGCTGAGGAGAAGATCAGCACTGCTTTGACTGAGAAGGGGGAGAAGAAGAGCAAGGAAGCTAAGGCTGAGCAGCTAATGGCCCAATTTGGAGAAAAGATTGCAAAAAATGAAGCAGTCTCAGTCTAGGGGCTGTTTTCAAGGCTCCTCCTCCCAACATGCTTCCTCCCACAATGCCTCCTCAGCCTTCTTTGGCTTCTGAGTCTGCTCCCATGCCTTCTCAAAGTCTGCGCCCAAAGAGGAGGACAAGGAAGGCTAATGAGTTTGAAGCCTGAGCAAAAGTGTCAGGTGAATGGGCCAGACAGAGCAACATCTCAGAGAATGGGACCTGCCTCAGTGAGGAAAGCTTCAAAGTGGGTAGCTCATCACCACCTGCTGTGAATGTGGACTCGCTTGTCCTCAGCTGGAGCATCGAGGCTCAGGCTGCTCAATACCATGCATCCATTTGAATGACGGGTTGCTTCTCCTCAGTCCACTCAGGCTCAACCTGATATGAGCCTGAGTCAGTGACACAGGTGTGCATACCTGAGGTGCTGCCATGAGTGATCTTGCCTTGTTTGCCAAAGCTCAGCTTGCCTGCTTCTTCTGAGGCAACCACAACCTCCTGCTTGAGAAGAGGATCATCAGAGCCAATATCAGCAGGTGGTGCTTGCTCAGGTGGAGGCAACGGTGGGTCCTCAGGAAGTTGCTGCTTGGAGCCAGCCTTGACTAAGGCTTTAGTTGAAGCTGTTTTCTGAGCACCTTTCTTCTGGGCCTTGTGCTTAGCTGAGGGCCTGTTCTTATTGCAAGCTTTGTTCTTGAGGAAACCTTTCAAAGCTAGGCTAAGTTTTTTCTTCCCTTTGCCCTGCTTCTGCTTGGCTTCAGGCTGGAGATCGGCCAAAGCTTCCTCCCTCCTCATGCCCTACACTTTCTCAGCTAGTTTTTGCACAAGTTTGCTTTTGTGCTTCTTGAGCAGGTTTGTGAGCTTCCTCTGCCTAGCCCTCGTAACCAGATTTTTCTCTCTCATGCTTTGATACTCAACAGTCCCCATTCTTTTGGGTTGAGCTCTTCTGAGGGCAGGATCAATCCTCAGACAAAGGGTTCTGAAGCTTTAGCTCCAAGTCCTCAGCAATGGCATCTTGGATCTCTGGCTTGAGCTCGTCCTCAGTGAAGTCCTTCTCATCATCAGGATGGAAATAATTCAAGGTTTGGAGAGCTGAGATGTGCTTCGCTGTGCTGCTCAGTTTCCAATCTGCCTTTGTAGGCACTCCTTCAGAGTCTCTCCACCTGAGCCTGTCTCTAAGCCACTCTGGATGATACCTCTTGGTGCCAATGCTGAGATCCCATTCATCTTGGAGATTCTTCTCAGCCATTGCTTGCTGAGCTGACACAACTGCAGTGGCAATCTCTATAAGGGACCCGCTTTCCAAACTGAGTGCTCGGTTTTTCTTTGTGAGGATTGGGTCCAGACAGTAAACCCCTAAGACCCTAAGACTTCTGTGAGAGCAAAATTAGCCTTGTCAAAGCACCATCTGAGAAGGGCCCAGCCAAGCCAAAGGTGCTGATCTTCCACCTCAAGGATTTCTTGAGGGCATGGGAGCATTGTGTGGATACTCCGCTCCTTTGGGCCCAGGCCAACCTCAGCTTCAGGATTGCAGCTCATCTGGCGCAAGTTGATCCTTGAGCAGGACAGCCTTGAGCAGCTGGAGGGCTTGAAGCAAGGCCTCAAACAAAGTTGGTTTGAGAGCACCAAGCTTCTTTTGGTTCCAGTGCATTCTCAGTTTCATTGGGCCTTGCTGGCAGCTCAGGGGGCAGGGCCTCAGCAACCCATCACTTGGAGAAGTATGGCTCCCTGAGCAAAGAGCATGCGGAATCACATCCACAGGAAATCCTCATTGACCCTGAGTTCATTCTCCCACCCCTCAGCAACATTGCCATTCAGCCTGTGGGCAGCAATGCCTGTGGCTGCAACATGCTCCATTACTCAGGGTTCAGTGGCCGTCAGTCTGGCCTGGAGATGGGTAGCACAATTGGAAGAAGCTGAGGTTGGTCACTTTTGTGCCTAAGCTGCTGGCTGAGGCAAATGCATTCACTGAGGCTACCAAACTCAGCCATGGTAGCATGCCTTTCGCAAATGTGCAGGTGGCAGCCAGGCTGCCTAGAATGTGATGCCTTCAAGTGCTCAGGTACCACTTGCACTCAGAGGCTGCTAAAGTTCATAAGCCGCCATATCTTAGCACAGGGCCTGAGGATCTGGAGCAGCTGCTGAAGACAAGCTCAGCTTCACCAAGCTCAGCTGCACCTTCTACCTCATCAAGTTCAGCTGCACCTGCTATCTCATCAAGCTCAGCTGCACAATGATGGACCTCACCTACTGACCCAAACTGAGCTCAGCTGAGCCAAAGTGAGTGCCTTTTAGCGTTGTACAGTTGTGCTGAGCAAAGCTCAGTGTTTTTTTGAAACTTGGCATGCTCAGCAAGTGCCTGGATGAAAAGGAGTGGCACAAGGGTTGGAGCCTTTTTTTGTGTTGGTGTTGTTGGTGTTGTTGTTGTTGTTGTTGCTGCTGTCGTTGTCGTTGTTGTTGCTGCTGCTACCATTTTTTCTTGAACAATTTTTCCTCCTA